GCCAGTACACCCCGATTGCTGGGTGATACAGCCCCGGGACATTGCACCCCGATTTCTAGGACACTGCACCCCGATTTCTGGGGGTGCCTTCCCGTTCCCCCAAAAATCTGATTCACCCCCCCAACCCAATTGATGGGTTGGTGTTTCCATTCCTGGGGGCACAAATTCCCCCTGGGGCAACGTTCCCCCGATCCTGGGCTGATGATTGCCCCCGGTGTGGCACAGGGACGTGGGATTGGCACAGGGACATGAGGTGTGGCACATGGGTGTGGCACAGGGACATGGGTGTGGCACAGGGACATGGGTGTGGCACACGGCAATGAGTGTGGCACAGGGAAACGGGTGTGGCACATGGAAATAGGTGTGGCACATGAGCATGGAGTGTGGCACAGGAGCACACGTGGTGTGGCACAGGGACATGGGTGTGGCACAGGGAAATGGGTGTGGAACAGGGAAATGGGTGTGGCACACGAGCATGGAGTGTGGCACATGGGTGTGGCACAGGAGCACACAGGGTGTGGCGCACAGGCACGGGGTGTGGCACACAGGGACATGGGATGTGGCACAGGGACATGGGTGCGGCACAAGGACACAGGTGTGGCACAAGGACACAGAGTGTGACACACGGGTGTGGACACGGGTGTAGCACAGGGACATGGGGGGTTGCACACGGGGTGGCACAGGAGCACACAGGGCACGCGGACAAGGAGTGTGGCACAGGGACGTGGGGGTGGCACAAGGACACTGGGGGTAGCGCAAAGCACAGAGTGTGGCACAGAGAAATGGGTGTGGCACAGGGACACGGGTGTGACACACGGAAATGGGTGTGGCGCACGGAAATGGGTGTGGCACAGGGAAATGAGTGTGGCACACAAACATGGGGTGTGGCACACGGGTGTGGCACATGGAAATGGGTGCGGCACAGGGACACAGGTGTGGCACATGGGCACAGGTTGTGGCACAGGGGCATGGCACAGGGACACTGGGGGTGGCACAGAAGCACACAGGGTGTGACACAGGGAAATGGGTGTGGCACATGAGCGCGGGGTGTGGCACATGGGTGTGACACATGGGTGTGGCACAGGGAAATGGGTGTGGCACACAAGCATGGGGTGTGGCACAGCGACACGAGTGTGTCACAAGGATACACAGGGTGTGGCACAGGGACACACAGGGGTATGGCACACGGGCACAGGACACGGAGTGTGGCACATGGGCACTGGGTGTGGCACAGGGACATGGGGGTGGCACATGGGTGTGGCACAGGGACACTGGGTGTGACACAGGGACATGGGTGTGGCACATGGACACTAGGTGTGGCACAGGGACACGGGGGTGGCACATGGGTGTGGCACACGGGCTAGGGAGAAACCCCATCCAGCTCCCACATACCAGCCCCGTGCCTCAGTTTCCCTTCTCACCCAGCCCCAGCCACAGCCAGGGTGGGGATGAGCCGAGGGTGGGGGGAGGAGGAGCCCCCCCAGAGTCCCCCCTGATTTTGGGGCACATCAGGGGTGGGCACAGCGAGCGTGGGGGTGACTCAGCACAGCTGGACAAGCACAGGTGGCACTGGGACAGTGGGGCTGTGTCCCCACCCAGGGCTGGCCCTGAGCCCTGTGCCAAACCCGCTCCCGGTGCCCAGGGGAGGTTTGGGGGGCACGGTGCCAGGCCAGGGGCACGTGCTGGGGACAGGATGTGACAGCAGCCAGCCCTGAGTCACCGCTGGCCACAGGATCCAGCTGGGAGGGACAGGAAGGGACAAGAGGGGACAGGAAGGGACAAGAGGGGACAGGAAGGGCCCTTGGCTCCAGCCCCTTGTCCCCAACAGCAGGGCTGGGGGCTCATTCCCAGTTTGGGGGCTCCATTCGCACTTTGGGGCTCATTCCCAGTTTGGGGACCCCATTCCCAGTTTAAGGACCCCATTCCCAGTTTGGAGGCTCCATTCCCAGTTTGAGGACTCAATTCCCAGTTCAGAGACCCCATTCCCAGTTTAAGGACCCCACTCCCAATTTAGAAATCCCATGCCCAGTTTAGAATCCCCATTCCCATTTCACACAGCCCACTCCCAGTTTGGGAACCATGTGCCCAGTTTAAGGACCCCGTTCCCAGTTTGGGGACTCCATTCCCAGTTTAAGGACCCCATTCCCAGTTTGGGAACCCTGTGCCCAGCTTGGGGACTCTGTTCCCAGTTGGTTGCCTGGTTTAGAATCCCCATTCCAAGTTTAGAAACTCCATTCCCAGTTTAGGAACCCCATTCCCGGTTTAGAAATTCCATTCCCAGTTTAGAAAACCCATTCCCAGTTCAGAGAGCCCACTCCCCATTTGGGAACCATGTGCCCAGTTTAGGAACCCCATTCCCACTTTCAAAACCCCATTTCCAGTTTAGAAACTCCATTTCCAGTTTAGAAACTCCATTCCCAGTTTAGGGACCCCATTCCCAGTTTAGAAACCCCATTCCCAATTTAGAAATTCCATTCCCAGTTCAGAGCCCTCACTCCCAGTTCAGAGCCCCCATTCCCAGTTCAGACTCCCCACTCCCAGTTCAGGGCCCCATTCCCAGTTTAGAATCCCCATTCCCAGTTCAGAGCCCCATTCCCAGTTCAGAGCCCTCACTCCCAGTTCAGAACCCCCATTCCCAGTTCAGAGCCCTCACTCCCAGTTCAGAACCCCCATTCCCAGTCCAGAGCCCCCATTCCCAGTTCAGAACCCCCATTCCCAGTTCAGAGCCCCATTCCCAGTTCAGAGCCCCATTCCCAGTTCAGAGCCCTCACTCCCAGTTCAGAACCCCCATTCCCAGTCCAGAGCCCCCATTCCCAGTTCAGAGCCCCATTCCCAGTTCAGAGCCCTCACTCCCAGTTCAGAACCCCCATTCCCAGTCCAGAGCCCCCATTCCCAGTTCAGAGCCCCATTCCCAGTTCAGAGCCCCCACTCCCAGTTCGGGGCCCCTCCCAGTGCCCCGGGGCACCTCCTCAGGCTGGAATTCTCCGGGATTCCGGGCCCAGCTGCCCCGGAGCTCCTGTGGGGCAGCAGCTGCTGCAGGGCTTGGGTTACACCGAGGGGGGATTGATCCCTGCAGGACTCCCCAGCCCACCCTGAACCCCCCCGGGAGCCAGAGAGGCCAAATGTGTCTGAGGGGGGGCAGCAGGGCTGGGCTGGAGCGCGGGGAGGGGGTCCCAGCACCCCGCAAAGCCCACCAGAACCTCTGGAACCTTCCTCCTCCTCCTCCTCCTCCTCCCCAGGGTCCCTGGTCAGACCCCAGCTGAGCCTGAGGCCACAGTGGGGGCTCAGGGGGCACCAGAAATGCCTGAGCAGCCTATGGGGGGGGGGGGGGGGACGGGGCTGGAGGAGAGACCCTGACCCCCCCACACTGTCTCCCCTGGGTGGGAACAAAGGGAACAGGGGGTCCCAAACCCTGGAGAGACCCCAGACCCCCAGTTCTGACCCCTGGAGAGAACCCAGCCCCCAATTCTACCCCCTGGTTAGACGCCAGCTCCTCAGTTCTGCCCCTTGGAGAGACCCTGACCCCAGTCCTGCCCTCTGTACAGACCCCAGCCCCCTAATTCAGGCCCATGGACAGACCCCAGCCCTCCAGTTCTGACCCCTGGAGAGACCCCAGCCCCCCTGGCCAGACCCCAGACCCCAGTTCTGACCCCTGGAGAGACCCAGACCCCCTGGCCAGACCCCAGACCCCAGCCCCCCATTTCTGCCCCCTGATTCATACCCCAGCCCCCGTGGCCAGACCCCAACCCCAGTTCTGCCCCCTGGAAAGACCCCAGACCTCCAATTGTGACTCCTGGAGAGACCCCAGACCCCATTACTGACCCCTGGTTCAGACCCCACCCCCCCTAGTTCAGACCTCAGCCCCACCAGTTCTGAGCCCTGGAGAGACCCCAGACCCCCTGGACATACCCGAGCCCCCCAATTCAGTTCAGACCCCAGCCCCCCAGTTCAGACCCCAGACCCCCAGTTCTGATCCCTGGCCAGACCCCAGCCCCCAGTTCAGACCCCAGACCCCCAGTTCTGATCCCTGGCCAGACCCCAGCCCCCAGTTCAGACCCCAGACCCCCAGTTCTGACCCCTTAAGAGTCCCCAGCCCCCAGTTTTGCCCCCTGCTCCCCCAGTTCAGACCCCCTCCAGTTCATCCCCCACACCCCTCCTCATTCTTGCCCCCCCTCCTCCTGCCAACAAACCCCATTTGGGGAGGGGGAGCACAACCAGGAACCCCCAGAAAGGCTCTGCTGGGCACCCCCAGGGCACGGGGGAGGGAGAGCAGAGACCCCCAGGGCCCCCCACCCTCACTGGGAGATCCCCAGACTCCCCCATCACCCTTTTAGGAACCCCCAGAGATGCGGGGACCCCCCCTGGGACCACCCAGGAAAGAACCTGGGACTGCCAGGGACCCCCTGGGACCCCCCAAGGAGTTCCTGTCATTTCTTCCTCCCTGGGACCCCCAGGATCCTCCTCAGGACCCCCCTTAGACCAGCCGGGACCCCCAGGATCTTCCTCAGGATCCCCGGAACAGCCTCTGGAACCCCTGCGAGCCCCTTGAGCCTCCCCTGAGACCCCTGAGCCCCCCCAGAACTCCCGGTGCCCCCACCCCAGCGCCCCAAAACTCGGCAAGTGTGACCTCCATGTCCCCCCACACAGGCCACGCCCCCTGCCACGCCCCGCATGACGCCACGCCCCCTTAGCTCCGCCCACTTCCTTGACTCCGCCCACTGCCACGCCCTCCGCAAGCCCCGCGCGCCCCCTGCCGGATGCGCGCCGCACATGCAGTCCCCACTCTCCCCTCTGATTGGCCACCCGCTCCCAGCCAATGAGAGACAAGGAGTCAACACCCAGCCGCTGTCTCAGCCAATCGCAATGCGAAGCGGCGCCCCGCCTCCCGAGCGAGCAAGCACCGCCCCTACAGCCAATCAGCGCCGCGCCCGCAGGGTGATGGGCGGGCGCAGGAGGGCGTTTCCACCAATGGGCGCGGCGTGCGGCGCGGAGGGGGCGGGGTCAGCGCGGCGCCTTCCAGAGAGTTCGGAGACGGCGGCGGAGCGGCGGCGGTGGTGAGTGAGGGGGGCGGCCCCGGGACCCCGCCGCGACCCCCGGAGCCCCCCGGGACGTTCCCAACCTCCCCGCGACCCCCGCCCCGCCCATGTCAGCGGCGAGCCCGGCCCGCACAGCCCTGAGGCGGCTCCTCGGGGTGCCCTGAGGGCCTGCAGGGCTCGGGGGGGGCTCTGAGGGGACCCCTCCTCCGGGAGCACCGGGTTCGGGTCCGCTCCGCCGCTGCGGTGTGAGGTGTGGGGGCCTCCGCGGCTGTGAACGGGCTGTCACCGTGTCACCTCCGCCCGGTACCCCCGGTGCGCGACCTGAGGGGCTGAACCGCCCTCACGGGGCTGCTGGGCTGGAGCGACCCGGCCTGAGGGGCCCGGCCCCGGGGGTTCCGAGGGACAGACCCCGCTCCAGCCAAGGGGATCCCGCTTTGGGACGGACCAACCCCGGGGGGACAAACCCCGCTGCGGTCCCCGGACCCGCTCCGCAGTGGGAAGCCGGGGTTATTTACCCGAGCGCTCCCCGCGTCGCCAGATAAACGTGTCCCCACCCCACGCGGGGCTTATCGGCTGTGACACACGGCCCGGGGGGGGGACAGGGCACCCCCGAGCCTGCCCCTCGCTGCCGGACCCCCCGGTGGCACCGGTTCGGACATCCCGTGTCACCCAAGTGCATGAGGGACACCAAGGATCAAAGCCTTTTGGGGGGACGGGACTTGGGGTCCATTTGCAGGAGTTCTGGGGGTGGTTGTTGTCACGACTCTGTCACACTGCGGGGAAACTGAGGCAGGGCTGTGCATGAGGGAGAGCAGGGATCAAAGCATTTTGGGGGGACGGGATTTGGGGTCCACTTGCAGCAGTTCTGTGTGGGGTTGGTGTCACTACTTCTTGTCCCACTGCGGGGAAACTGAGGCAGGGCTGTGCAGAGGGAGAGCAGGGATCAAAGCCTTCTGGGGAGATGGAATTTGGGGTCCGTTTGCAGGAGCCCCGTGTGGGGTCTGTCTGTCGCGTTGTTGTCACCACCCCCTGTGCCACTGCGGGGAAACTGAGGCAGGGGGCCAGCAGGGCTCACCCAGCGGGGTTTTGGGGTCACTCAGAGCTCCGGCTGGCTGGCAGTGCCACGCTCACAGCCCCGTCCTGTCCCAGCACGTCACAGCAGCCGGGAAGATGGTGAAGGAGACGGGTTACTACGACCTGCTGGGCGTGCGGCCGGGCGCCAGCCTGGACGAGATCAAGCGGGCGTACCGGCGCCTGGCACTGCGCTACCACCCCGACAAGAACCCCAGCGAGGGCGAGCGGGTACGTGCGGCCCCCCCGGCCCCTCCCCGAGCCCCCCGTGCCCGGCTGACCCCTCTGTGCCCTCCCCAGTTCAAGCAGATCTCGCAGGCCTACGAGGTGCTGTCGGACGCCCACAAACGGGCGCTGTATGACCGCGGAGGAGAGCGAGCCATGAAGGAGGGAGGCCTGGGGGGCCGCGGGGGCGGCGGCGGCTTCGGCTCCCCCATGGACATCTTCGACCTCTTCTTTGGAGGGGGAGTGAGGATGCGAGGCCGGGCAGACAGGAGAGGTGAGGGGTGAGGGGTGGAGGGACTTGCTGTGACCCTGGGGTGGGTGGGAGGGTGCCCGGGAGGGTGCCCAGCACCATGAGGAGGTGACAATTCTGCTGGCACCTCTTGATGGGAGGGGGCTGGTGCCAAGCACGGGGAGGAGATGACAGGAGGTGACAAACTTGCTGGGACCTTTTGGGTCTGGAGCATGGTGGTCACTCAGGAGGTGACAAAGCTGTTGGGATCTTTTGGTGGGAAGGGGCTGGTGCTCAGCACCATGAGGAGGTGACAAACTTGCTGGAACATTTTGGTGGGAGGGGGTGTGTGATCAGCACCATAAGGAGGTGACAAACCTGCTGGCACCTCTTGGTGGGAGAGGGCTGGTGCCCAGCACTGTGAGGTGACAGGAGGTGACAAACCTGCTGGTACCTTTTGGTGGGATGGGGCTGGTGCCCAGCGTGGTGAGGAGGTGACAAACCTGCTGGGACCTCTCGGTGGGAAAGGGCTGGTGCCCAGCACAGCACTGGTTTGGAGGACAAGGGACCACTGGGAAGCATGACTGGGAGTGGGCTGGCACCCAAATGCAGTGTGACATTGGCTCAGGAGGTCACAGAGGTTGGTCCCCAGCGTGGCACTGGCTCAGGGTGACAGGAGGCTGGTGCCCAGCATGGCACTGGCTCAGGGGTGACAGAGGCTGGTGCCCAGCATGGCACTGGCTCAGGGGTGACAGAGGCTGGTCCCCAGCATGGCACTGGCTCAGGGTGACAGAGGCTGGTCCCCAGCGTGGCACTGGCTCAGGGATCCAGCCAGGCTCCCCAGGCCGTCTCTGCCCCCGCGGCACAGCCCGCTGCAGCTCCTCACCACCCTCATTACTTTCTCTTCAAAGGGCCCTTCCCTGTCCCTGTCCCGGCTTTCCCCCACCGTCCCCGGCCCCGGGGCTGGGCTGAGTCACCGCAGCAGCCCCGGGGTGGCAGCAAGGACGCGGGGCCAGCCCGGTGACTCGGGCCTGGGTCACAGGGACACGGTGACTCTGCCGGCTTCTTGCTGAGATGGCAGGAGTTAATTGCAGGGCAATTAGGAGGCCGAGGGAGTCATCTGGAGCAGCTGGGGGTGGCTGAGAGCCCCGGGGTGGGAGCCGTGCCCTGCCCACGCTGGGGACCCGCCACTGCCCCAGGGTGGCATCCAGGCTTGGAGTGAAGCTGTCCCTGCTGTGTCCTTGAGGAAGGAGCAGGGCTGGCTCGCCTGGTGAGCCTGAGCAGTGCCCAGTGCCTGTCTGGGGCTGGCACAAGGCTGGTGCTGAGCCAGGCTCTCCCCGTGCCCAGGGAAGACAGTGGTGCACCAGCTCTCTGTATCACTCGAGGATCTGTACAACGGCTCCACACGGAAGCTGTCCCTGCAGAAAAACATCATCTGCCGCAAGTGTGGAGGTGAGTGAGGGGCTGAGGGGCCGCCCCAGCACCCCTTAACCCAATATCTGACCCCCTGCCCCTCCCTGGCACAGGCTGCGGGGTGCGGGAGGGCGCCCAGAGGAGGTGCCCCAAGTGCCACGGCTCGGGCATGGAGGTTCGCATCCACCAGCTGGGGCCCAGCATGATCCAGCAGATCCAGACCGTGTGCTCGCAGTGCCAGGGCCAGGGCGAGTGGATCCGGCCCCGCGACTGCTGCCTCACCTGCAACGGCCGCAAGGTGGTGCGGGAGAAGAAAATCCTCAGCGTGCACCTGGATAAAGGTGAGGCACGGCTGCGTGCGCGGGGGGTCACCCCAAAGCGCCACGCGGGCTCTGAGCCTCCTTCACCCCCCTCGCAGGCATGAAGGACGGGCAGAAAATCACCTTCCACGAGGAAGGGGACCAGGTGCCCGGCCTGGAGCCCGGGGACATCATCATCGTGCTGGATCAGAAGGAACATCCTGTTTTCCGGCGCAGCGGTGACGACCTCATTGTCAGGAGGGAGATCAGCCTGGCAGACGCCCTGTGTGGGTGCAGGCAGGTGATCCACACCCTGGACAACCGCACCCTGCTCGTGTCCTCCCCGCCAGGTGAGGGGCACTCGGCACCTGGGAGTGGCACAGCACCACGGGGATGTGCCCCCTGTTGATGGAGTGACAAAACTGTCCTTTGTCTCCTTGAAAAGGAGAATTATCTCCTCAATTAGGTAGAAAGAGCTCATCCCATAAGAGGCGTCTCCACCTCCCAGGGGGATTTCACCTCAAATTTAAGGATGGCCAGTTGGATAGGAGCTAAAAAGTCCCACCTAAGCAATTTACTAGAAAAAGAAGAGCACAAAGAAACTAATCACTTTTGGGAGGCGTTTTAGAACCTCTTGCACTTGTTTTCTCTCTGTAAAGAGTTTTGTTAATTTGCTTTTCCAACACTACCACAGAAGCCATCTTGGCTGATTTTATGCCTTCTCAAGTAGCTGAGCTATTCTGTGTGTGGTATAAATCTCCAAAAACTTATAAGATCTGGCCCAAAGAGACCAATACATCACACCAGGAGCTGCCAGCACAGCAGGGTCACCCTCATCTCTGTCTCTCAGGTGATGTGATCCGACCTGGGGACCTGAAGTGCATCCCCAACGAGGGCATGCCCGTCTACAGGAGCCCCTTCCAGAAAGGAAAACTCATCCTGCAGTTCGAGGTGAGCTAGAGCAGGATGCTGGGATTCCACATCTCCCACCTGCGGCCTTCCCGAGCTGCCTCATAGGGGATGTTCTTCCTCTGTGTGCCCTCAGGTGAAGTTCCCCGAGCCGGGCTGGCTCCCCACCGACCGCCTGCGGCAGCTGCAGGGCTTCTTCCCGCCGCAGGAGGAGGTGATGGCCACGGAGGACACGGAGGAGGTGGAGCTCAGCGATTACACGGCCCACAGCGGGCCGGGCCGGCGGCCCTACACGGGGGAAGCTTATCACGAGGATGATTTCGAGGATGGCATGAGGCAGCATGTGCAGTGCCAGACCTCATAGCGGGGTGGGGCCCGCGAGCAGGCGGGGCAGGGGAGGGGCTGCACCTTCAGGGATGTACATAGGGCGCCTTTCCGACAGCACTTCACCTTCCCCGGCCCCGCAGAGCCGGCAGAGCCCCCCTGCCCTGCCGGCTGAGCCCCCTGCCCTGCCATGGGGGGCACGGGGGTGGGCTCCAGCTGCCGCTGCTGGAATGGAGCAGTAACACAGGGGGTACCCGCTGCCCCTGCCTCAGTTTCCCCATCTGCAGTGTGGGGAGCAGGGGAAGTGCCCCAGTCCCACCCCCACCCTGGGGACCTGCTGCCCGGGCCCCCAGCTCCTTGCTTTGCCCGTTTCTTTCCTTACTGGAGCCTGGCTCAGGCCTGGGATGCAGAGGGGGTGGCTCTTTTCTCTTTGCACAGGACAGGAGGGGTTGGGGGGGACCCGTCCCTTCCCTTTAATTTATTTTTGGAAGAATTTTAGAAGTTTTTCTTTTTTTTTTTTTTTGGGGGGGGGGGGCGGAGATGGGGGGGCGGTGACTTTGTACTTGGCATTAAATGCGAATCCCAACTCGGTGTGTGGGGTTGAGCCTGGGGCAGGGTGTGGGACAGGGTGTGGGGTTGAGTGTGAGACAGAGTGTGGGGCAAGGTGTGGGGTTGAACATGGGACAGTGTGTGGGGCAGGTTATGGGGGTGAGCATGGGACAATGTGTGGGGCTGAGCATGGGGCAGGATGTGGGATAGGTTATGGGGTGAGCCTGGGGAAGGATGTGGGGTTGAGTGTGGGGCAGGGTGTGGGACAGGCTGTGGGGTTGAACATGGGGCAGGGTGTGGGGCAGGTTATGGGGTTGTGCCTGGGGCAGGTTAGGGGTTGAACATGGGGCAGGGTGTGGGGTTTAGCCTGGGGCATACTGTGGGGCAGGGTGTGGGGTTGAGCTTGGAACTGTGTGTGGGATTGAACATGGGGCTGTGTGTGGGGCAGGGTGTGGGGTTGAACATGAGGCAGGCTGCGGGGCAGGGTGTGGGGCTGTGTATGGGGCAGGGTGTGGGGTTGAGCCTGGAACTGTGTGTGGGGTTGAACATGGGGCTGTGTATGGGGCAGGGTGTGGGGTTGAGCGTGGGGCAGCAGCAGCCCCAGGGCAGTGACTCTGCCCCGCTTTGATCTCGGGCGTGCCTCAGTTTCCCCATCCTTACCCAAGCGGGCGGTGCCGGCTCCGGCTCCCGCCTCCCCCTGCCCCGGCTGCTCCTCCTGCTGCAGACCCCCGGCCTGGCTGGGGAGGGGTCTGCCCCATTCCCTCCCCCTGTGCCAGCCCTGCAGCCCCCCTTGTCCCCTGTGTGCACACCCCAGTCCCTCTCTGTGTCCTTGTCCCTTCCAGAGCCCCCCTGGGCACTCTGCATCATCCCAGCATCCCCGGAGACCCCAAACAGAGGCAGATTCACCCCAAATAGCTTCAACCCTGCACTCACCACATGGGTGATTCCAGCCACGGCACAGAGCTGGGCTGCTGAGCTGCTAAGGGAGATCCCCCCAAAAATTACCCTCCTATGGGGGGCAGCTGCATCCCAGAACCTTGTTCCTCTGCTCTGCTCCCCTGTCTGGACACAATCTTGACCCTGTGGGTACCCCCAGTCCCTCTCCCTGTCTTTGTCACTTCCTGGACCCTCTGCATCATATCAGCATCCCTGGAGAACCCCAAATAGAAGCAGACCCCCCCAAACAGAGGCAGATTCCCCCCAAATAGCTTCAACCTTGCACTCACCGCATGGATGATTCCAGCCACGGCACAGAGCTGGGTTACTGAGCTGATAAGGGGGACTCCCCAAAAATTACCCTACAGGGGGGCAACTGCATCCCAGAACCTTGTTCCTCTGCTCTGCTCCCCTGTCTGCACACAGTCCCAACCCCATGGGTTCCCCCAGTCCTTCTCCCTGTCCTTGTCACTTCCAGGACCCTCTGCATCATCTCAGTGTCCCTGGAGAACCCCAAATAGAGGCAGATTCACCCCAAATAACTTCAACCCTGCACTCACCCCATGAGTGATTCCAGCCACAGCACAGAGCTGGGTTACTGAGCTGATAAGGAGGACCCCCCCCGCCAAAAATAACCCTGCTATGGGGGGCAGCTGCATCCCAGACACCCCCTGCCCCTCCACGTGCTGGACCAGGCTCCCCTCCACAGTGGGATGGGGGTGAAACCCCCCCAGCCCTGCCCAGGAGAGCCCAGGCTGGGGGGGCTCTGTGCGCTTGGAGCTCCCTCCCTCCCTCCCCTGGAACCCAGGAAAGCTCCGGCGCCAGCTGCAGCTGCAGGGGGAGAGGAGGAGGAGGAGGAGGAGGAGGAGGAGGAGGCGGCAGCGGCGAGGAGAACAATGCTGGCCGGCCGCCAGCCGAGGGGAGAAGGGGGGAGCTCCTGCCCAGCCCCCGGCCCGGCGGGCACAGGGAGGGCTGAGCGCGGGCGGTGACGGTGACAGTCCCTGGTGACAGCCCCTGTCCCGCGGGGCTCCTCCCTGAGCCACCCAGGCAGCGTTGTCCCTGCTGCCGCGAGCCGTGGTGCCCTCCTGCCACGCTGGGCACAGGGACCCTGTGCCATGTGCCAGAGCCCACCTGGGCACGTGGCATGGTGGCTGTGTAGTGCCCCAGCCGTGCCAGGCACCGAGCAGGGTCCCCAAGTTGTCACACAGCCAGAGACCCCTCTGGAGAGCAGGGCAGCCGAGAGACCCTCCTGGGGCTGGCACCTCTCTGTCCCCAGCTCCTCTGTCAGGACGTTTTTTGGGGTGTGGGGGATGCCAAGGTGCCAGCCTGGACCAGCCAGGGTGGGCTCTGAGCTGGGCAGAGCCGGCCCGGGGGCTGTGGGGGTGACAAGGAGGTGACCCCAGCCCTTGGGGGACACAGCTTGGCTGGGGTCATGCTGGATGTGTGTGTGGGGCGGGGGGATTGTTCCTCCAGCTCAGCCTCCCTCCTTTATCCCATCCCCAGCGTCACCAGGGCTGGGGGAGCCCCCAAGCCTGTCCTGTCCCCTGTAGGGACACCCCTGTCCTGTCCCCCTGTCCCCTTCAGGGACACCACTGTCCTGTCCCCTATAGGGACACCCCTGTCCTGTCCCTCTGTCCCCTTTAGGGACACCCCTGTCCTGTCCCCTTTAGGGACACCCCTGTCCTGTCTCTCTGTCCCCTATAGGGACACCCCTGTCCTGTCCCCTTCAGGGACATCCCTGTCCCTCTGTCCACTACAGGGACATCCCAGCGAACCCCCCCGGATTCAGGCAGACCGAAGCCCCCTCCCCGCACGGATGAGACAAACGCGGTTCCCCCACACCCATCCCAAGCTCAGCTTCCAGAAAAATGCACGGGAAAAATTCCGGGGTGAGGGGCCGGGGCCCCCCAGGGTCGCGCATTCATTGCCCGCTTTGTCTCCGCACATGAAAGGCGAGGGGCCAGCCCGGCCCCCTGCCCAGCCCGGGGGGGCAGCGGGGTCACCGGCCGGGATTAGTGCCGGATTAGCGGCGCCGGGACCGCGACACCACCCAGGCGGAGCTGCGGGAGGGGGGCTCAGCCCCCCGGAGCAGTTTTGGGGTCACTCACCCACGGCCCCTCCGCCCCAGCTCCGCAATTCGCTTTTGTTCCGAGAGCAGCCGAGCTCCGGGGAGGGGGCGCCTCCCTCCGGAGCCCCCCGGGCCGCTGTGGCAGCCCCTGCCCCCCTCTCCCCCCATTTCTGGGGGTCCCGGAGCCCCCCCAGAGCTCCCCCAGGCCGAGGCGAAGCGGAGCCGTCCCCAGGGCTCCGGGGAAAGCGGAGATTCCTCCGGCGGGGGCGGGGGGGCACGGCTGGATTCCATTACCGGCGGCTCCCGGGGTCTCCGGGAGTGAGGTGGGGAGGGGGCCGGGACCCCCGGCAGAGGCGGGACACGGCCCTGGGAACGGCGCCAGGGGTGATGGGCGCCTGCCAAGCGTCCACCTGGAGATACCGGAGCCTTCCTCCCCCTCCTCCTCCTCCCCAGGGAAGGTGTAATTCCACCCTCGCTGCTCCTGGACGGGCTCCCGGGGTGCGGGAGCACAGCCCGGCCGTGGGGGTGAGGCCAACACCGAGCCCTGGCTCCTTTCTCCATGCCCCCATCGCAACACCGAGGCCCGGCTCCCTTCTCCATCCCCCCATGACAACACCAAGCCCCGGCTCCTTTCTTCATCCCCCCATGACAACACCGAGGCCTGGCTCCTTTCTCCTTCCCCCCATCAGTGCTCGGTGGGGCGGTGCCCCCCAACTGCCCCTCGGGAGGGGGGCAGTGCCCCAGAGGAGTCCCGGCCCGGTCTGGGGGAGCCGAGCTGGGCAGGGAACGGGGGGCGGGAGCAGCACCCCAAAGCTCGAGGCGGGGCGGTGCTGCACCCCGATCTTCTCTGCACCCCAATCCTGCTCCCCGACCTTCCCTGCACCCCGATCCTCCTTGCACCTCCCCGCACCCCGACCCTTCCTGCAACTCCCGGCACCCCGAACCTCCCTGAACCCCCCAGCTCAGCCCCGTTGTCCCGGGCTAATTAACGCCAATCCCACGCAGAGCAATTAGCGGCCAGCCCGGTAATTAACAAAGCCACAGAACAAACCCAGGGGTGCCCCCGGCTCCCCCACCCCAGCCCGGACTGGGGTCTCATGCTGAGAGCTGGGGTAGAACACAAAGCCCCGGCCCCACAGTCACCCCACGGTCACCCCACGGTCACCCCACAGTCACCCCGTGCCACCACCCGCTTCCCACGCGGGATGTGCCAACCCCGCTGCCGCCCTCGCCCCCGGCCCCTTGCGCAATGGCCCCACAGAGGCTGTGGGGGGCAGGATCTGGGTGTGGGATTTGGGGTGCGAGATGTGGGGTGTGGGATTTGAGGGATGGGATCCAGGGGGAAGGATCTGGGGTGTGGGATTTGGGATGTGAGATGTGGGGTGTGGGATTTGGGGGATGGGATCCAGGGGGAAGGATCTGGGGTGTGGGATATGGGGTGTGGGATTTGGGATGTGAGATGTGGAGTGTGGTATCTGGGGGGTGAGATTTGGGGCGTGGGATCTGGGGTGCAGAATCTGGGGTGTAGGATCTGGAGTGTGGGATCTGAGCTGTGGGATTTGGGGGGTGGGATCTGGGGTGTGAGATTTGGGGTGCAAAGTCTGGGGTGTGAGATCTGAAGTGTGGGATTTGGGGTGTGGGATCGGGAGTGTGGGATTTGGGGTGCAGAATCCGGGGTGAAAGATCCAGTGTGTGGGATCTGGAGTGAGGAAATCTGGGGTGTAGAATCTGAGGTGTGGGATCTGGGGTGTGGGATTTGAGGTGTGGGGATTTGGGGTGTGGAATCCAGGGGGAAGGATCCGGGCTGTGGGATCTGGTGTGTGGGATCAGGAGTGTGGGATTTGGGGGGTAGAAATCAGGGCTGCAGAATCCAGGGTGTGGGATTTGGGGTGTGGGATCTGGGTGCAGAATCCAGGGTGTGGGATTTGGGGTGTGGGATCTGGGTGCAGAATCCAGGGTGAAAGATCTGGGGTGTGGAAATCTGGGGTGCAGAATCCTGGGTGTGGGATTTGGGGTGCAGAATCCGAGGCGAAGGATCTGGGGTGTGGTATCCGGTGTGTAGAAATCTGGGGTGTGGAAATCTGGGGTGTGGAATCCAGCGTGTGGGACTCAGACTGCAGGATTTGGGGTGCAAAATCCGAGGTGTCAGATTCAGACTGCAGGATCTGGGGTGCACAGTCCGGGATGTGGAATCTGGAATGTGGGATTTGGGGTGCAGGATGCAGGGTGTGGGATGTGGAGTGTGAGATTTGGGGTGTGTGATTTGGGATGCAGAATCCAAGGTGTCAGATCCAGACTGTGGGATTTGGGGTGCAGAATCTGGGGTGTCAGATCCAGACTGTGGGATTTGGGGTGCAGGATGCAGGCTGGTGGATTCAGACTGCAGGATTTGGGGTGCAAAATCCGAGGTGTCAGATTCAAACTGTGGGATTTGGGGTGCAGAATCCAGGGTGTGGGATCTGGAATGTGGGATTTGGAGTGTGAGATTTGGGGTGTGGGATTTGGGGTGCAAAATCTGAGGTGTCAGATTCAGACTGTGGGATTTGGGGTGCACAGTCCGGGATGTGGAATCTGGAATGTGGGATTTGGGGTGCAGGATGCAGGGTGTGGGATCTGGAATGTGGGATTTGGAGTGTGAGATTTGGGGTGTAGGATTTGGGATGCAGAATCCATGGTGTGAGATTCAGACTGTGGAATCTGGGGTGCAGAATCCGGGGTGTGGGACTCAGACTGCAGGATTTGGGGTGCAGAATCTAGGATGTTGGATGCGGGGTGCAGATCTAGAGCACAGAATGTGGGATGTGGGATTTGGGGTGCAGAATCCGAGGTGAAAGATCTGGGGTGTGGTATCTGGGGTGTGGAAATCTGGGGTGTGGAAATCTGGGGTGTGGGACTCAGACTGCAGGATTTGGGGTGCAGAATGCAGGGTGTGGAATCTGGAGGGTGATTTGGGGTGCAGGCTGCAGGGTGTGGGACTCAGACTGCAGGATCTGGGGTGCAGGATGCAGGGTGTCAGATTCAGACTGTGGGATTTGGGGTGCAAAATCCGAGGTGTGGGATTCAGACTGCAGGACTTGGGGTGCAGGATGCAGGGGGTAGAATCTGGAATGTGGGATTTGGGGTGCAGGATGCAGGCTGTGGGATTCAGACTGCAGGATTTGGGGTGCAAAATCCGAGGTGTGGGATTCAGACTGTGGGATTTGGGGTGCAGAATCCAGGGTGTGGGATCTGGAATGTGGGATTTGGAGTGTGAGATTTGGGGTGTGGGATTTGGGGTGCAAAATCTGAGGTGTCGGATTCAGACTGTGGGATTTGGGGTGCAGGATGCAGGGTGTGGGATCCAGACTGTGGGATCTGGGGTGCAGAATCTGGGGTGTCAGATTCAGACTGTGGGATTTGGGGTGCACAGTCCGGGATGTGGAATCTGGAATGTGGGATTTGGGGTGCAGGATGCAGGGTGTGGGATCTGGAATGTGGGATTTGGAGTGTGAGATTTGGGGTGTAGGATTTGGGATGCAGAATCCATGGTGTGAGATTCAGACTGTGGAATCTGGGGTGCAGAATCTGGGGTGTGGGACTCAGACTGCAGGATTTGGGGTGCAGAATCTAGGATGTTGGATGCGGGGTGCAGATCTAGAGCACAGAATGTGGGATGTGGGATTTGGGGTGCAGAATCCGAGGTGAAAGATCTGGGGTGTGGTATCTGGGGTGTGGAAATCTGGGGTGTGGAAATCTGGGGTGTGAGACTCAGACTGCAGGATTTGGGGTGCAGAATGCAGGGTGTGGAATCTGGAGGGTGATTTGGGGTGCAGGCTGCAGGGTGTGGGACTCAGACTGCAGGATCTGGGGTGCAGGATGCAGGGTGTCAGATTCAGACTGTGGGATTTGGGGTGCAAAATCCGAGGTGTGGGATTCAGACTGCAGGACTTGGGGTGCAGGATGCAGGGGGTGGAATCTGGAATGTGGGATTTGGGGTGCACGATGCAGGCTGTGGGATTCAGACTGCAGGATTTGGGGTGCAAAATCCGAGGTGTGGGATTCAGACTGTGGGATTTGGGGTGCAGAATCCAGGGTGTGGGATCTGGAATGTGGGATTTGGAGTGTGAGATTTGGGGTGTGGGATTTGGAGTGCAGAATCCAAGGTGTCAGATCCAGACTGTGGGATCTGGGGTGCAGAATTTGGGATGTGGGATCCAGAGCCCCCAGGGCGTGGGATCTGTGTGCCAATGGGGCAGGAGGAGAGTCAGGGATACCCCTGGGGGGGGGGGTCACAGGACATTTATTGAAAAATGAAGGAGACAACAGAGGGAAGGGGAGGGGGCTGGGCCCCGGCGCTGCCCCAGGCTGGGGGGTTTGCTGTCCCCATCTGTACCATATTCACAAATAAATACTGGGGAGGGGTGGCGGGGCAGGGCTGGGGGCTGCGGAACCAAGAGCAGCCCAGCAGAAGCCAAAGCAGCTGGAAGCAGCCCCAAAGGCGGGGAGGGGCCGCGTTACCCCCCGCCGCAGCCGGCACCGAGCCAGCCCCGAGAGCAGAGCGGGGCCAGGACGGGCCCGGAGCTTCTGCTGGCCCCGAGAGCCCCGCCCTGCACGGGGAGGGGAATCCGGGTGTGTGTGACCCCCCAAAAAAGGGGGTTGGGGGATGCAACACCCCCCTGTGACAGGGGAGCAGTGCAGGGGGCTGTGGGGACACGGGGAGGGGAGGGGGGGATATTGGGGAGGGGTCGCTGAGCGGGGGGGTCACTCCCGAATGTACACCCGGGTGCACACAACGTCATCGGCCGTCATGGTCTGCGGGGAGAAGGGGGCGGTCACAGGTGTGGATGTGGCCCCCCGTGTCCCCATCCTGTCCCCATCCACCCCCTCCTGCCCCCATTCTCCTCTTCCTGTCCCCTTTCCCCCCCTCCTGTCCCCATCCCAGCTCCTCCTGTCCCATCTGCCCCCTCTTGTCCCCTCCTGTCCCCATCCACCCTCTCCTGTCCCCTCCTGTCCCCATCCAGCCCTCCTGTCCCCATTCCACCCCTCCTGTCCCCATCCCAGCTCCTCCTGTCCCCTTTCCCCCCGTCCTGTCCCCTTTCCCCCCGCTCTTGTCCCCATCCGCCACCTCCTGTCCCATCCCAGTGCACTCCTGTCCCCTTTTCCCCTCTCCTGTCCCCATCCCAGCCCCTCCTGTCCCCATTCCCTTCCTCCTATCCCATTTGCCCCCTCCTGTCCCCATCCCAGCTCCTCCTGTCCCATCCACCCCCTCTTGTCCCCATCTGCCCCTCCTGTTCCCTTTCCCCCCCCGTCCTGTCCCATTCCAGCCCCCTCTTGTCCCCATCCCAACACATTCCTGTCCCCATCTATCCCCTCCTGTCCCATCCATCCCCTCCTGTCCCCTTTTCCCCACTCCTGTCCCTATCCACCTACTCCTGTTCCCATCTGCCCCCCTCTGTCCCCATCCCAGCTCCTCCTGTCCCATCCACCCCTCCTGTCCCCTCCTGCCCCCATCCCAGTGCTCTCCTGCCCCATTCCCCCCCCTCCTGCCCCCATCCACCCTCTCCTGTCCCCATTCCCCTCCTCCTGTCCCCTTTCCACCCCTTCCTGTCCCATCCCAGCCCCTACTGCCCAATCCCAGTGTGCTCCTGTCCCCTTCCCCACCTCTTATCCCCATCCACCCCCTCCTGTCCCCATTCCCCCTCTCCAGTCCCTATCTGTCCCCTCCTGTCCCCATCCACGCCCTCCTGCCCCATTTGCCCCCTCCCGTCCCCATCCCAGCTCCTCCTGTCCCATCCACCCTCTCTTGTCCCCATCTGCCCCTCCTGTCCCCTTTCCCCCCGTCCTGTCCCATTCCAGCCCCCTCCTGTACCATCCCAGTGCGCTGCTGTCCCCTTCCCCCCTCCTGTCCCCTTTCCCCCTCTCCTGTCCCCATCCCAGCCCCTCCTGTCCCCTTGCCCCTGCTCCTGCTCCATTCCTCCCATCCCCATCTGCTCTTTCCTGTCCCCATTCACCCCTCCTGTCCCCATCCCCTGCCCTTCCTGTCCCCTCCTGTCCCCATCCCAGCTCCGAGGGAATTCCCAGCGGGCAGCGCTGACCCCAAGCCCTGGTTGGCCCCGTTTGGCCCCGTTTGGCCCCGGTTCCCCGTTGTTCCCCTCACCAGGATGAGCTCCCCGTCGTTGCTCATCTCCCGGGACCAGCCCGTCCTGGGCCCGTCTCCCTTGAGCAGGCGCTGCTCGCACACCATCTTGTTCTTGTTCTCATCCTCCCACCGGGCCAGGCTCTGCGGGCACGGGGGGCAGAGATTGGGGGCTGTGTGGGCACCCCCGGGCACCTCCTGCCCTCCCCCGGGCACCTCCTGCCCACCCCGGGGGCAGAATGGGGCATTTGTCCCTGTGCCAGGGGGGTGCGGGGGCACTGGGCATCACGGGGGTACAGGGAGGGGATGGGGGCACAATGGGGGGTACAGTGAGGGGATGATGGCACAGGAAGGGGTTGGGGGGCACAGGAAGGGGTTGGGAGGTACAATGAGGGGTTGGGGCCACAGGGAGAGAATGAGGGGCACAACGGGGGGCTGAGGGGCACAGGGAGAGGTTGATGGCACAGGGAAGAGGTTGGCAGGGAAGGGGCTGGGGGCACAAAGAGGGGATGGGGGCACGAGGAGGGGATGGGGGCACAACCGGGGCTGGAGGGCACGAGGAGGTTGGGGGCACAGGGAGGAGATGATGGCACAGGAAAGGGGGTTGGGGGCACAGGGAGAGGTTGAGGGGGGCACAATGAGGGGTTGCGGGCACAGGGAGGGGATGGGGGCACAACAGGGGTCGGGGGCACAGGTAAGGGGTTGAGGGGCACAGAGAGGGGCACAACGAGAGGATGATGGCACAGGAAAGGGGTTGAGGGCATGGAGGGGGGAACAGGGAAGGGGATGAGGGGCACAATGGGGGGTTGGGGGCACAATGAGGGACTGGGGGCACAGGGAGGGGATTGGGCTACCAGGAAGGGGATGGGGGGCACAACAGGGGTTGGTGGGCACAGTGAGAGGTTGGCAGGGAAGGGGTTGGGGGGCACAGGGAAGGAGATGGGGGCAAAACAGGGGTTGGGGGCACAGGGAAGGGTTGAGTGGCACAGTGAGGGGATGAGGGGCACCATGAGGGGTTGATGGTACAGAGAAGAGGATGGGGGGCACAGGTAAGGGGTTGAGGGGCATGGGGAGAGGTTAAGGGGCACGGGGAGGGGATGAGGGGCACAGGGCGAGATTGAGGGGCACAATGAGGGATTGGGGGCACAGGGAGAGGTTGATGGCACAGGGAAGGGGTTTGGGGGCACAGAGAGGGGATGGGGGGCACAACGAGAGGATGATGGCACAGGAAAGGGGTTGATGGCATGGAGGGGGGAACAGGGAAGGGGATGAGGGGCACAACGGGGGGTTGGGGGCACAATGAGGGGATTGGGGGCACAGGGAAGGGGATGGGGGCACAACAAGGGGATGAGGGGCACAATGAGGGGTTTGGGGTACGGGGAAAGTTTGGGGGAACAGGAAAGGGGATGGGGCACAACAGGGGTTAGGGGGCACGGGGAAGGGGTTGAGGGGCACAACGAGGGGATGATGGCACAGGGAGGGGGTTGAGGGGCATGGGGAGAGGTTGAGGGGCACAGGGAAGGGACTGGGGGCACACGGAGAGGTTGAGGGGTACAATGAGGGGTTGGGGGCACAGAGAAGGGTTGAGGGGCACAACAAGGAGATGGTGGCACAGGGAACAGATGGATGGCACAGGGAAGGGGTTGGGGGCACGGGGAAGGGGTTGGGGGGTACAATGAGGGGTTGGGGGGTACAATGAGGGGTTGGGGGACCCAGGGCAGGGATGGGGGTGCAGGAGGGGATTGGGGGACCCAGGAAAGGCCTGGGGGGCACAAGGAGAGGTTGGGGTGCAGGAGGAGGGGAAGCAGCTGCAGGGAGAAGGGAGTGTGTGCACAGACAGACACACACACACACACACACACAGAGTCACACTGACACTCAGACTGACACACTCACATGCACACAAACACACACAGTCACACCCACAAACTCTCTCTCACACTCATTCACACACACACACACAGAGATACACAGTCACACACACACTCACAGTCACACACACACAGATACACACAGTCACACCTACATTCACAGTCACACACACACTGACACACCCAGTCATACACACTCACACAGTCACACTCACACAGACGCACCCACACTCACACATGCAAACACACAATCACAATCACAGTCACACACAGTTACACCCACACTCACACATGCACACACAGTCACACTCACAGTCTCACACTCACACACAGTCATACTTACACACACTTGCACACAGACACAGTGACACTCTCACACTCACAGACACACCCACACTGACACACACTCACTGTCACACTCACACACTCAGTGTCACACATGCACACAGTCACACACAGTCACATTCACACACACAGTCACACCCACAAACTCTCTCTCACACTCACATTCACACACACAGATACACACAGTCACACACACTCACATTCACACACACAGTCACACACACTCACACAGACGCACCCACACTCACACATGAAGACACACACACACTCACAGTCACACACAGTCACACCCACACTCACACATGCACACACAGTCACACTCACACTCTCACACACACAGTCATACTTACACACAGACACACTCACACTGTCTCACACTCATACACTTACACCCTTATTCACACTTACACACCAACACACAGTGACACATACCCACACTTCCATGCTCACACAGACACACACACTCTCAAACTCTCACACTCTCTTTCACACACACACTCTTACACTGACACATCACACTCTCGCACACACACTCTCACACTCAGACTCACTCTCACACTCACACCCCCACTCTCACTCCCACAGACTTTCACCCACTCACACCCTTACTCACACTCACACACCCTCACTCACAGTCTCACACTCACTTTCACTCACACAGTGACACAATCTCACACTCACACACTGTCTCCCACTCTCACTCACACACTCTCACACACCTGCACTCACTCTCACAATCTCACACCCACTCTCACTCCCACACTTTAACCCACTCACACCCTTACTCACACAGTCTCACGCTCACTCACTCTCACACTCTCATGCACACACTCACAGTCTCACACTCACTCTCACTCATACAGTGACACATCACACAATCTCACACTCACACACTGTCTCCCACTCTCACTCTCACACATTCTCACACACCTGCACTCACTCTCACACTCTCACACACTCACACACCCACTCACACCCACTCACACACACTCACACACACTCTCACACTCACACACACTTTCACACTCTCTCACTCACACTTTCACACACTCACACCCATGCTCACACTCACTCTCACACTCACACCCACACACTCTCTCACACTCACTCTCACACACTCACACCCATGCTCACTCTCACACTCACACACACTCTCTCACTCACACTCTCACACACTCACACCCATGCTCACACTCACTCTCACACTCTCGCACACACTTTCACACTCTCACTCTCACACCCACTCTCACTCACACTCACACTCTCACACCCATGCTCACACTCACTCTCACACCCACACCCACTCTCACACTCTCACTCACACTCTCACACCCATGCTCACACTCACTCTCACACCTGCTCCCCCTCTCCCCGCGGTGCCCCCGTGCCAGCCCCACCTTGCAGGGCCGCCCATCCACCGTCTGCTCCTCGAACTCCTCCCCGAGCCTGAAGCGGATCTCGGTGGTGCGCACGGGGGTGGACGTGCGGATGTAGAAGCCGTCGCCGTCCCCGTCCTGCCGGATCTCCACCGCCGGCTTGGCCGCCGCCGCCACCGCGATCTTCCTCAGCATCACGTTCACACCTGGGGGCACGGTGACACCAAGAGGGAACGGTGACAGGGGCACGGTGACAATGAGAGGGAACGGTGACCAAGGGGGAACAGTGGCACCAAGAGGGCACGGTGACCAGGGCACGGTGCCACCGAGAGGGCACGGTCACCCAGGGCACGGTGACACTGAGGGGGCACAGTCACCCAGGGCACGGTGACACTGAGGGGGCACAGTGACCAGGGGGCACGGTGACACGGGGGCACGGTGCCACTGAGAGGGCACAGTGACTGAGGGGGCACGGTGCCACCGAGAGGGCATTGTGACCAAGGGGGCATGGTGACACCAAGAGGGCACAGTCACCCGGGGGCAGCATGGGGGGTGGCATCGAGTGGGCACAGTGACCTGGAGGGCAAGGTGGTGCCCGGTGACCAAGAGTGAGGTGGCACTGAGGGTGCCCGGTGACCCGGGGAGAGCGGTGGCACCGAGCACTGCCCAGTGGCCCAAAGGGAGCAGTGGTGCCCGGTGACTGGGGGAACACGGTGGCACTGAGAGTGCCCGGTGACCTGAGGAGCACAGTGGTGCCCAGTGACCTGGGAGGTGAGAGGTGGTGCCCCGTGACCCAGGGTTGGGGACATGGTGCCACCGAGCGGGCACGGTGACCAGGAGGGGGGACACGGTGGCACCGAGAGTGCCCAGTTACCCGGGGGGTGGCACTGATCGTGCCTGGTGACCTGGGTGGGCACGGTGGCACCGAGAGTGCCCAGTGACCCAGGGGGAGGACGTGTTGGCACCGAGTGTGCCCGGTGACCAGGGGGACACGGTGGTACCCGGTGACCCAGGGGGAGGGGCACGGGGGCACTGAGAGTGCCCAGTTACCTGGGGGGTGGCACTGATCGTGCCCAGTGACCCGGGGTGGGACACGGTGGCACCGAGAGTGCCTGGTGACCCAGGGGGAGCCCGGTGGTGCCCAGTGACCCGGGGTGGGACACGGTGGCATCGAGAGTGCCCGGTGACCTGGGGAGGGGCACGGTGGCACCGAGAGTGCCCAGTTACCTGGGGGGTGGCACCGATCGTGCCCAGTGACCCGGGTGGGCACGGTGGCACCCGGTGCCCTCGGGTCGGCCCCGCTCTCTGCGGTGCCACCTCCCAGGGCACAGCGAGGGCCGCAGGTGGCTCCAGGCAGCCCAAGGAGGGAGGGGAGGGACAGCCCGAGCCCCCCCCGGCCCACATCTGGCCACATCTGGCCACATCTGGCTCTCGTTACCTGCGGAGGGGGCGGCGCCGCCGCCGGATGCGCCCCGGGGAAGGCGCGGGGGTGACAGCGGGGACAAGGGCCCCTGTGCTCGGTGTGACCCGTGTGACCCCCCCGGGGGTCCCGCGCTCCCCCCTCGGCAGCTGCGGCTTTGTCCCCGCTCATCCATCACGGCCCGGCTGTCACCGGGGGGCTCTTTGGGGACATTGTTCCCGTGTCACCTCCCTGAGAGGGTCCCCGCACAAAGGAGGGGCTGCGGGAGCCGGGCCCCCCCCAATGGGACGGGACAAATCCCCTGCAAGCCCCCCACAACACCCCCAGGGCGGGTTCACACCGGAGACCCCAAACAGGGCCCCCCAAATGATGGGAATGGGGGTGGGGGGGCACAAGCAGCCCCCAAAGGGAGCAAAGCCACGGCTGGGGGGGCGGGTGGGGTCTGTACCCCCCAAATCTGCCTTTATTCACCCCAAATCTGCCTTTATCCTCCCTAAATCTGTCTGTAGCCACCAAGTCTGTCTGTATCCCCACCAAATTCGCCATTACCCCCCCAAATCTGCCTGTACCCCCCCCAAATCTCTCTGTATCCCCCCAAATCTGCCTCTATCCCCCAAAATCTGTCCGTCCCCCCCAAATCTGCCTGTATGCCCCCAAAATCTCCCTGTACCCCCCCCAAATCTGCCTGTACCCCCCCAAATCTGCCTGCACCCCCCCCAAAATCTGTCTCTACCTCTCCAAATCTGCCTCTACCCCCCTAAATCTGTCTCTACCTCCCCAATCTGTTTGTACCCCCCCAAAATCTGCCTCTACTCCTCCAAATCTGCCTTTATCCCCCCTAAATCTGCCTGTACCCCCTCAAATCTGCCTTTACCCCCCCAAATCTGTCTGTATCCCCCCCAAAATCTGCCTGCATCCCCCCAAAAGCTCTCTACCCCCCCAAATCTGCCTCTACCTCCCCCAAATCCACCCAAATCTGTCTGTACCTCCCCAAATCTGCCTGAACCCCCTCCTAAATCTGCCTGTATCCCCCTAAATCTGCCTGCACCCCGAGGGGAGCCCCCTTTGCGCCGTGGGAAAGCAGGAGGGCTCCGGGGGGGTTGTTTTTTGTTGTTTTTGGCAGATTTATTTTCCTGCCGAGGTTTCCCCGAGCCGGTTCCATGAGCGGGGCCAGGGCAGAGCCGGGGATCGGGAGTGAAACCCAAGGAAAGCGATAATTATCCTGAAATATTCGGTCCGTATCCCCTAACCTGGAAATATTTCTGCTCCGGGGCTGGCGAGGAGAGGGTCAGGAGGAGGAGGAGGGAGGGGGGAGATGGATTTGATCGTGCGCAAAACCCCGGGGACCCCCCCAAAATTCCAGACTTTTGGCTCTCCCCACCCGCACTCGGCTCTGCCATGGGGCTGAGATGAGAAAGGGGAGAGTGGGACCCCAAAATCCCCACAAAATCCCCACAAAAATCCCCACAAAATCCTCACAAAATCGGTCTGCTTGGGCTGGTTTGGGGGCACCGGTTGTCCCCAAAGTCGGGGGGCACAGGTGAACCCGCGGGAGATTTTGGGGTGGGGGGAGGAGGGGAGCACCAGGGTGGGGAAACTGAGGCAGGAAAGGGGTGGGGGGATCCCTCGGGGTGGTGCCTGTGACTCCTCAGCGGGCACCGAGCGTCAGAGCTTGGGGAAAAGGGGGAGCAAAAGGGATCCCCGCGGCACACCGGCGGCTCCGGGCACCGCCGGGCTGGAAAAGGGTTTGGAGATGGGGAAAATGGGGGGAAATGGGGGGAAATTGGGGGGAAAATGGGGGAAAATGGGGGGAAAATGGGGGAAAATGGGGGGAACCCCCTGGCCCCCAGCCCCAATGAGCCCCGAGAATTGGGGGATCCACTCACCCAGAGCCTTCAGCAGCTCCTCGAAGTTCTCCGAGCTCTTCATCTTCCAGTTGCCGGAGAAGTTGGGCATCGCGGCTGCCAAGCTGGTGGGCACAGGGTGGGCACAGGGTGGGCACAGGGTGGGGAATGAGCGCTCCGAGGGCTCCCTCGGTACCGGCGGCGCCGCCGCTCGCTCGCTCGCTCCGTCTGTCTGTCCGTCCGTGCCGTCCCGCCCGCGCCGTTTTATGGCCGGGCTGGTCCACCCCCCTCGGCCCCGGCCCCGGTTTGGGGGCTCCGCGCTCACCGGCCGAGCCCCCGCCCCGGGCCGAGAGCCCAGGCCGAGCCCCCGCCCGGTTGGGGGTGTAGGTGCCGGTTGGAGCTCTGCCCGTGCCCCCCAAATCCCCCCATGATCCTGATCAGGCTGGGGCATCTCCCTGGGTCCCCCTGATCGTCAGCATCGCCCCCCAAATCTGTCTGTACCCCACATGCGCTGCACCCCCCAAATCTGCCTGGACCCCCCCAAATCTGCTTGTATCCCCCCTAAATCTGCCTGCAGCCCTCAAATCTGTCTGTACCCCCCAAGCTGCCTCTACCCCTGCAAATCTGCCTGTACCCCCCAAAATCTGTCTGTACCCCTCAAATCTGTCTGGACCCCCCAACGTCCTGCACCCCCCCAAATCTGCCTCTACCCCCCAAATTTGCCTCCACCCCCCCAAATCTGCTGTATCCCCCCCAAATCTGCCTCTACCCCCCCAAATCTGTCTGCACCCCCCCAAATCTGTTTGGAACCCCTCCCAAGCTGCCTTCACCCTCCAAACCTGTCAGTGCCCCCAAATCTGACTGCACCTCCCCCAAATCTACCTCTACCCCTCAAATCTGTCTGTACCCCTCTAAATCTGCTTGTATCCACCCCAAATCTGTCTGTACCCCCCCCAAATCTGTCTGTACCCCCCCAAATCTGCCTCTACCCCCCCAAAATCTGTCTGTACCCCCCCAAATCTGTCTGTACCCCCCCAAATCTGCTTGTATCCACCCCAAATCTGTCTGTACCCCCCAAATCTGTCTGCCCCCCCAAATCTGTCTGTACCCCCCCAATCTGTCTGTACCCCCCCAAATCTGTCTGCCCCCCCAAATCTCGCCACACCCCCCGAGTGTGCCCAGGGCACGCGTGTTTGCACAGCTGTGTGACGCTGGCACGGGCACGTGTGGGTGCCTGTGCACACTTGTGCACACGTGGGTTTGATCCTCGACTTGCCAGCGTCACCATCACGCACAAACTCACACAAAAACTCTCAAACTCACAGAAAATTCACATATAAACTCACACAAAACTCACACAAAAATTCACACACAAACTCACAGAAAAACTCAGACACAAACTCAAAAACTCACAAAAAATTCACACAAAATTCACACACACAAACTCAAAAACTCACACCAAAATTCACATATAAAGTCACAACTCACCACAAAAACTGACACACAAAACTCACACAAAAACTCACACACAAACTCACACACCAAACTCACACAAAACTCTCACACAAAAACTCACACACAAACGCACACACAAACTCACAAACTCACACAAAAACTCACACAAAAATTCACAATATAAACTCACACAAACACTCCCAAACGCACAGAAAATTCACACATAAACCTCACATAACAACTTGCACAAAAATTCACATATAAACTCACAAAACTCACACAAAATTCACAACACAAACTCACACAAACACTCCCAAACTCTCACAGAAAATTCAGACACAAACTCACACCAAAAACTCACACAAAAACTCACACAACACTCACCACAAAAATTCACAGAAACTCAGAACTCACACACAAACTCACACAAAATTCACATATGAAGTCACAACTCACCACCACACAAAACTCACACAAAAATTCACACACAAACTCCCAAACTCACAGAAAAATTCAGACATAAACTCAAAAAACTCACACAAAAACTCACACAAAAATTTACACAAAAACTCCCAAACTCACGGAAAAAATCACACATAAACTCACACAAAAACACACACAAAAATTCACATATAAAGTCACAAACTCACACCAAACTCATACAAAAATTCACACACCAACTCACAAAAAACTCACACAAAAACTCCCAAACTCACACAAAAATTCACATATAAACTCACACAAAAATTCACACATAAAATCAAAAGCTGACACAGAAACTCACACAAAAATTCTCACAAGAACTCAAAGACTCACACAAAAATTCACATATAAACTCACAAACTCACACAAAAACTCACACAAAAAATTAAAAACTCACACAAAAACTCGCACAAAAATTCAAAACTCACACCAAAACTCACTCCAAAGTCCCAGCCGGGTCTGTGCTCACTGGAGCTGCCAGGGGCAGGTGGATCCCCCTCTCCCAGCCGGGTAAAAGCAGCTCCGAGGGATTTCCCGAACTTTCTCAGCCCTGGGAAGGGCAGGCTGTGCCTCGGGGCCGGTTCTGGGCAAGAAAAGCCAGAAATGGCGTTTCTGGTTGAGCAGGAGCTCCGGGGTGGAAGGAGAGAGGAATGTTCTCTGATTTAGGGTGAAAAGGTTTCACAGAGCCCTCCCTGCTCGTGGTCGCATCCCCCCAGAAGCTCCGGTTGGGGCCAAGTCCCGGCTTGCTCATCCCTAATCCCCTGAAGAACAGGATTGCTCTGACACAGCCTCACCTACAGCGGGGCACGGACAGACAGAGGGACGGGCTGGGCAGGGGTCACCCCAAATCTGTCCCTCCGGAGGTGCAGGAGAGGCCTCCCCCCGTGTGGAGTGGCTGGGGTTTGCTCAAAATCTGGGGGAAATGGGGGGTGAATAATAATAATAATCTCCATTTCAAGGAGGGGGAAATAATCTCTATTCTAGGGGGGGAACAAAAATCATCTCCATTTCAGGGGGAAAAAATAATTTCCATTCGGGAGGGGGGGAAAATAAGCGCCATTCTAGGGGTGGGGGGGAAATCATCTTTATTCCAAGGGGGGAAAAATCATCTCCATTTCAAGGGGGGAAAAATCATCTCCATTCAGGGAGGGGGAAAAAATCATCTCCATTTCAAGGGGGAAAAAATAATCTCCATTCAAGGGGGGAGGGAAAAAGCATCTCCATTCTAGAAGGGGAAAAAAGAATCTCCATTCTAGGGGGAAAAAAATCATCTCCATTCTAGGGGGGGGAGGAAATAATTTCCATTCCAAGGGGGCAAAAATCATCTCCATTCCAAGGGGGGAAAAAATCGTCTTTATTCCAGGAGGAAAAATAATTTCCACTCCGAGGGAGGGGGGAAAATCATCTCCATTTTAGGGGGGAAAAAATATATAATCTCCATTCCATGGGGGAAACAAAAATCATCTCCATTCCAGGGGAAAAAAAATAATTTCCATTCTTGGTGGGGGAAATAATCTCTATTCCGGGGGGGAAAAAAAATAATCTCCATTCTAGGGGAAAAAAATCATCTCCATTCAGGGAGGGGGAAAAAATAATTTCCATTCAGGGGGGGAAAATTAATCTCCATTCTAGGGGTGGGGGGAAATCATCTCCATTTCAGGGGGGAAAAAAATAATTTCCATTCTAGGGGGGAAAAAATCATCTCCATTCCAGGGGTGGGGGAAATAATCTCCATTCCAGGGGGGAAAAAATCATCTCCATTCCAGGGGGAAAAAAATAATCTCTATTCCAGGGGGGGAAATATCATCTCCATTCTGGACAGGGGAAATAATCTCCATTCCAAGGGGGGAAAAAAATCATCTTTGGTCCAGGAGGAAAAATCATCTCCATTCCGGGGGAGGGGGGAAAATCATCTCCATTCTAGGGGGAAAAAAAAAAATCATCTCTATTCTGGAGGGGGGAAAAACCATCTGCATTCTAGGGGAGAAAAATCATGTCCATTCTAGGGGGAGGAAAAAAATCATCTCCATTCCAGCGGGGGGAAAAAAATCATCTCTATTCTAGGAGGGAAAATAAAATCATCTCCATTCCGGGGCAAGTGGGTGGCGGGTTTGGGGTGGGATCTGCCTGCAAACCCCCAGGGCCCCCCGTGCTGGGCACCATCACCCAGTGGGGTGGGAGCGCCAGCCCCACATCTGGAAGGGATTGCGCCGGGAAGGGCGGATGAAGCCTTCGCACCGCACCCTCCTCTCCCTCCCTCCCATGCCGGTGAAGGCCTGGCCCCAAACAACCCCCCCGGGAAGGGCACGGATTCCCTGTGCCGGTGCCAGGGCAGCAGCAGCAGCCGCGGCTGGCTCAGCCTGCTGGATGCGGAAACATCCGGCACCATCCACCCCCCCTTTTCCCGGCAGAAATCCTCGCAAACCGCAGAAATCCCGAGTGCAACCCCCCCACATCGCTGCTCCGGGACCCCCCAACATGCTGTCGGTGCCCCACAGCCCCTCCTGGAAGGATTGGGGGGTGCTTGGGGATGTTCCCCCCTCCTCAGTGCTGGGAGGGGCTGTTGGGTACCCCCACCCCACACAGGAGCTGAATGTGTTTGGGGCCACCCCAGTTTGGGAGAGAACACGGGGGGCTCCTCTGTGTGCGGGGTGAAGCCTGAGCAAGGGCAGGTCACCGCTGTCCCCCTCCCCACGTCCCCACAAATGTTCCGCAGCTGGCGGGACGCGGCCCCCACCCCCCGCCTCTGGCCACGGCCACGGCCGCTGCGGAAATGAGACACAGCTGGAAACACAGCTGGACGGCGAGAGCGAGCCCGGCCCGGCCCCGCGGCCGCTGCGACCCCCGGCTGTGCGGCGGGACGGAGCACGCGTGCCCCGGAGCTCTGGGGGGAGGCCCCAGCGGGGGCTGACCCGGGCCGGGAGCCTGATCCGGGCTGGGAGCTGACCCGGGCCGGGAGCCGTGCTCAGCTCCAGGACCCTGACCCGGGCTGGGAGCCGTGCTCAGCTCCAGGACCCCTCCTCACCTCCAGGACCCTGCTCTGCTTCCAGACCCTTAACTCCAGGACCCTTATTCAGCTCCAGGACCCTGCCCTGCTTCTGGACCCTTACTCAGCTCCAGGACTTCCCTGGCCCCAAACCCTTACTCAGCTCCAGGACCCTGCCCCAGCCCGGGACCCTCACTCAGTTCCAGGACCCTGCCCTGGTTCTGGACCCTTACTTAGCTGCAGGACCCCACCCGGGCCCAAGACCCTCATCCAGCCCAACCCTGAACCCTATCTCAGCTCCAGGACCCCTCCTCAGCTCCAGGACCCTGCCCTGGTTCCAAACTCTGCCCTGGGCTGGGAGCTGTGCTCAGCTCCAGGACCCCTCCTCAGATCCAGGACCCTGCCCTGCCTCTGGACCCTCACTCAGCTCCAGAACCCTGCCCTGGTTCCAAACCCTGACCTGGGCTGGGAGCCGTGCTCAGCTCCAGGACCCTGACCTGGGCTGGAAGCCGTGCTCAGCTCCAGAGCACGGCTGGTTCCTGGTTCCAGACCCTGCCCTGGGCTGGGACCCTCACTCAGCTACAGGACACCGCCCTGGGCCAGAACCCTGCCCTGGGCTGGGAGCCGTGCTCAGCTCCAGAGCACGGCTGGTTCCTGGTTCCAGACCCTGCCCTGGGCTGGGACCCTCACTCAGCTACAGGACACCGCCCTGGGCCAGAACCCTGCCCTGGGCTGGGAGCCGTGCTCAGCTCCAGGACCCCTCCTCAGATCCAGGACCCTGCTCTGTTTCCAGACCCTTAACTCCAGGACCCCTACTCAGCTCCAGGACCCTGCCCTGGTTCCAAAACCTTAACTCCAGAACCCTTGTTCAGCTCCAGGACCCTCACTCAGCTCCAAGATCCTGCCCTGCCCTGGGACCCCTACCCAGCTCCAAGACCCTGCCTTGGTTCCAAACCCTTAACTCCAGGACCCTCACTCAGCTCCAGGACCTTTACTCAGCTCCAGGACTTCTCTGGCCCCAGACCCTTTCTCAGCTACAGAACCCTGCCCTGGTTGTGGACCCTTATTCAGCTCCAGGACCCCTACTCAGCTACAGAACCCTGCCCTGGTTCTAAACCCTTAACTCCAGGACCTTTATTCAGCTCCAGGACCCTTCCTCAGCTCCAGGACCCTGCCCCAGTTCCAAAACCTTAACTCCAGGACCCTTATTCAGCTCCAGGACTGCCCTGGTCTGGGACCCTCAGTTCCAGGACCCTGCCCTGGTTCTGGACCCTTCCTCAGCTCCAGGACCCTGCCCAGGCCCAGACCCTGATCCAGCCCAACCCTGGGACCCTCACTCAGCTCCAGGACCCTGCCCTGGCCCCAGACCCTGACCCAGCCCATCCCCGGGACCCTTCCTCAGCCCCGGGACCCTTCCTCAGCCCCGGCAGCCCCCACCCCGTTCCAGCCCCATCCGGAGGGACCCCAGGGTGAGATCACAGCCATCCCCCGGACCCTGCCCCGCATCCCGCACCCTCCGGGGGCTGGGGCCCGCCCGGCTGCTTCTCATTTCCAGGGCCATGAAGGCCTTTGACGACCGGCCATTTATAACCGCAGTAAAGCCCCTAATCACCGCCAGAGCCAGCGCAGACACAAAGGCTCCCGCCTGCTCCTCCGCCCTCCCACCTTCCGCCGCGTTTTGGGGCTCGCACAGCTTTTCCCACCCCCACCCGGCTGAGATGAACCCCCAAAACCCCGCAAGCTCCGTGGGATGCTCGGCCCCCAGCATTGCGGGAGGACCAAAATCCCAAAATAAAAATGAGGAATGGCCTCTCCTGCTGTACCCCAAAAGCCTCCCTCGGGTTCCAGCGCCCCGAGCCAAGCTCAGGCACGTAAACAGGAGGAAAAGCTGGAAAAAATGACGCACGGCGGGGGCTCGGGGCCGCGGCCAGCCCGGCGGGGGCGGCTGCGGTCTCGGCACCGGCACCGCTCCCGGTAACGGCGGCACCGGGGAGAAAACGGGGTGCAGGGGGGTCGGGAAGGGGCCAGCTCGGCTCCGGCAGGAAGAGGAGGTGGAGGAAGAGCAGATGGCGGAGGGTGCCGGGTGATGGCCCGGTAAGGGACCCCCCCCGCTCCCGCCCACCGGGGCCGGGGGCTCCTCCCGCCGCCAGCCAAGGGAAGAGCTCTTCAATCATTTCTTTTTAATTAGGATTTTGCACATAAAGCTTTCAGTTCAAAGCGGTTCCCGACAAGGATCGGGCTGCCCTCCGGGGGTGTTCCCAGGGCAGCGCTGGGGGAATTCACCCCGGGACCCCCCCAAGGTCACCCCCGGGGCAGCGCGGGGGGCTCGGGCAGGATGGGGCGACGCTGCTCGCCCTGCCCGGCTTCATCCCGCGCCTTGCATGATGATGAGGAAAGTGGAATTTCACCAATTAAAGCGGCTCCAGGAGCAGAGACTTTGCAGAGAGATGTGACCCCAACTCCGGAGCGGGACTTTTTGCAGAGGGATGTGATCCCAACTCCCGGAGCAGAGCAGGGACTTTGCAGAGGGATGCGATCCCAGCTCCTGGAGTGGAGCCAGGACTTTGCAGAGGGATGCGATCCCAGCTCCCAGAGCAGGGATTTTGCAGAGGGATGCGATCCCAGCTCCCGGAACAGAACGGGATATTTGCACAGGGATGCGATCCCAGCTCCCGCAGCAGGGATTTTGCAGAGGGATGCGATCCCAGCCGCAGCCCCCAGGCAGTTCCCGGCGCTCACAGAGGTAGTTTGGGGAGGAGGAAGGAGCCTGCTCCACTCCCCACGCCCCAAGGATGGGGGCGGTGTGCTCAGGGTGCCCCAAAGTCTCTCCAGCAGCCCCTGAAGCGTTTTGGGGGTGCAGAATCCCAGAGACCCCCCTTGGGGGGAAGGCACCGGCCCAGGCCCTGCCCTCGCCATGGGGACAGTGGCACAAGGCACGGCAGGCCTGGGGACAGGGACATCGCACCGGGCTCCTCCTCAGCCACGGACACGGCAGCGCCTCACGGGAGCCTCGAGGGGCAGGGCCGGGCTGGGGGTGTCACTGTGGGACCCCCAGGGTGTCACTCTGAGCCCCCACCCCAGAGGCAGGACCAGGCCTAGGCCATCACTGTGGGTCCTCCCAAAAGCAGGACCGGGCCGGGGGTGTCACTGTGGGGCGCCCCAAAGGCTGCACCAGGCTGGGGGCGCCACTCTGAGCCCCCCCCAGAGGCAGGACTGGGCCGGGGGTGTCACTCTGAGTCCCCCCAGGGGCAGGACCAGCCCTGTTGGCATCACCCAGGGACCTCCTAAAGGAAGGACTAGGCTGGAGGTGTCACTGTGGGACCCCCCAGAGGCAGGACCGGGCTGGGGGTGTCACTGTGGGACGCCCCAAAGGCTGCACCAGGCTGGGGGTGTCACTGTGGGACCCCTCAGAGGCAGGACCGGGCTGGGGGTGTCACTGTGGGACCCCTCAGAGGCAGGGCCAGCCCTGTTGGCATCACTGTGGGTCCCCCCAAAAAGGCAGCACCGGGCTGGGGGTGTCACTCTGAGCCCCCCCAGAGGCAGGACCAGGCCTAGACCATCACTGTGGGCCCCCCCAAAAGGCAGGACCGGGCTGAGGGTGTCATTCTGAGCCCCCCCACAGGCAGGACTGGGCCGGGGGTGTCACTCTGAGCCCCCCCAGAGGCAGGATCAGGCCTAGACCATCACTGTGGGCCCCCCCAAAAAGGCAGCACCGGGCTGGGGGTGTCTCTGACTCTGATCCCCCCCACAGGCAGGACTGGGCTGGGATATCACTTTGAGCCTCCTCCAGAGGCAGGACCAGACTGGGGGTGTCACTCTAAGCCCCCCCAAAAGCTGCACCAGGCTGGGGGTGTCGCTGTGGGTCCCCCTCAGAGGCCGGGGGTGTCACTCTGAGCCCCCCAGGGTATCACTCTATCCCCCAGGGTGTCACTCTGATCCCCTCCAGAGGCAGGACCAGGTTGGGGGTGTCACTCTGATCCCCCAGGGTGTCACTGAGCCCCCCAGGGTGTCACTCTGAGCCCCCCAGGGTGTCACTCCGAGCCCCCCCAGAGGCAAGACCAGGTTGGGGGTGTCACTCTGATCCCCCAGGGTGTCACTCTGAGCCCCGCCAGAGGCCGGGGGTGTCACTCTGATCCCCCAGGGTGTCACTGATCCCCCCAGGGTGTCACTCTGATCCCCCAGGGTGTCACTCTGAGCCCCCCAGTTGTCATTCTGATCCCCCAGGGTGTCACTGAGCCCCCCCAGAGGCAAGACCAGACTAGGGGTGTCACTCTGAGCCCCCCAGGGTGTCACTCTGATACCCCCAGGGTGTCACTTCTGCTCGGGGTTCTGCTGCAGGTGCTGCTCCCACTCTTCCTCCACCACCTTGTAGAGCTCCATGGTGGCTCGGGCATCTTCCACCGAGGAGTGGCCGCTTTTCCCCACCTGTGGGCACAGACACAAAGTGACCCCAGCTCCCAGTTTGGGGGGGCAGCCACAACTGGGAGAGACTGGGGGGGATGTACAGAGATTAGGGAGTGCAGGCAGCTGTGAGGTGGGGGGGATGCAGGAAGATTTGGGGGTACAGGAAGCTCTGGGGGGATGCAAGGAGATTTAGGGGGATGCAGAGAGCTTAGGGGGATATAGAGAGATTTGGGGGGGATGCAGGGAGCTTAGGGAAGTATAGAGAAACTTAAAGGGATGCAGGCAGATTTGGGGGTACAGGAAGCTCTGGGGGATGCAGGGAGCTTAGGGGGGTATAGAGAGATTTAGGGGGATGCAGGGAGTTTAGGGGGGTGCAGGGAGATTGAGGGAGGATGCAGGCAGATTTGGGGATACAGAGAAAATTGGGGAGGTGCAGACAAAGCTGTGGGATGTGCATAAAGGGAAAAAAACCTCCCAAGGCTGCAGGGGTTGAGCTGACAGGGAAAGGGAAACTGAGGCACGGGGCAGCCTCACTCCAGGACTGGCAGCCATGGCTGAACTCAGGGTGCCTCAGATCTCCCTCCCTCCCTCCCCACCGTCCCCTGGGGTGGTGAGGGGCTGCCCCGGGTACCTGGATGTCCTGGTTGAGCAGGGCCTTGGTGAGGCGTTTCAGGGAGATGTTGACGTTCTCAGGGAAGCCAGCCCTGCGGTTCAGCAGCGGGATCTGCGACGTGTCCCTGGTCAGGGCTTTGGGGTGGCAGTAGTGAAGTGCCTTGAAGTCGTTGTGGATGGCGTGGCCCACCACCACCTTGCCAGCAAGGATCTGCAGCACCTGCAGGAGAGAGGGGGGTGAGACCCCAGCAGGGCCAGCCCCGCTCTGGGGGACGTCCCTGTCCCCTCTCAGGGCCAGGGGCAGCCCCACGGGGCAGAGTGTGGGGCTGAGTGGGGGTGGTGCAGTGTGGGGACAGTCCCCATGCCCCATAGGGCAGTGTGGGGACAATCCCTGTGCCCCACAGGGCAGTGTGGGGACAATCCCTGTACCCCTGGGACAATCCCTGTGCCCCATAGGGCAGTGTGGGGACAATCCCTGTACCCCTGGGACAATCCCTGTGCCCCATAGGGCAATGGAGGGACAATCCCTGTGCCCCTAGGACAATCCCTGTGCCCCATAGGGCAATGGAGGGACAATCCCTGTACCCCTGGGACAATCCCTGTGCCCCATAGGGCAGTGTGGGGACAATCCCTGTACCCCTAGGACAATCCCTGTGCCCCATAGGGCAATGGAGGGACAATCCCTGTACCCCTGAGACAATCCCTGTGCCCCATAGGGCAAGATGGGGACAATCCCTGTACCCCTGGGACAATCCCTGTGCCCCATAGGGCAATGGAGGGACAATCCCTGTACCCCTGAGACAATCCCTGTGCCCCATAGGGCAAGATGGGGACAATCCCTGTGCCCCCTGGGCTGCAGATCTCAACCCTGTGCCCTCCACCCGTGGCACTGCAACCTCTCACTCCCTGCCCCAGCCCATGAGTTCTCCCCATTGTCCCTGGGGCACAGGGATTGTCCCCCTGCCCTATAGGGCACAGGGATTGTCCCCAGGGGTACAGGGATTGTCCCTGTCCTGCCCTCTGGGGATTGTCCCCTCCTGCCCTGTGGGGCACAGGGATTGTCCTGTGGGGCACAGGGATTGTCCCCATCTGCCCTCTGGGGATTTGTCCCTGCCCTGTGGGGCACAAAGATTGTCCCCTCCTGAACTGTGGGGCACAGGGATTGTCTCCTGCCCTGCCATGAGATTATCCCCTGGGCACAGGCATTGTCCCTGACCTGCCCTGTAGGGCACAGGCACTGTCCCCAGCTTCCATGTGGGGCACAGGGATTGTCCCAGGGGCACAGGGACTGTCCCCCCTGCTCTGTGGGGATCGTCTCCAGGGCACAGGGATTGTCCCCTTCTGCCCTGTGGGGCACAGGGATTGTCCCTGGGGCACAGGGAATGTGCCTCCCTGCCCTGTGGGGCACAGGGATTGTCCCCAGGGGCACAGGGATTGTCCCCCACATCCCATACTCCACATCCCCGTGTCCCCCAAGCCCAGCCCCACACGTCCCCCCATCCCCGTGCCCATCCCTCTCTGTGCGCCATGCAGGCTGACCTGCTGCTGTGCCCGGCGGAAGGGCACGGCCTGTGCCATGTGCCGCGGGCGGATGCCGCTCCAGCGGGTCCGGTAATCCACGATGGCCGCCTCGGGCCGCACGTACCGGTCGTACACCACGTCCCCCTCGTAGGTGACGATGCTGCAGCGCGCCAGGGCGCTGGTGCGCCCACCGGGGCCCGTGCCCACCATCTCACAGTCCAGGGCCACCAGCTTGGAGGGCGCCGGGGGGGCACTGCCAGCGCCCCGAGCCTTGGCCTTGGCCCCAGTACCGGTGGGGCCGTTCTGGGCCGCCCCCCGAGCCTTGGCTTTGCTCTGAGTGGGGGCTCCGGTACCGGTGGGGCCGTTCTGGGCCTCCTCCCGATCTTTCCCCTTGGCTCCGGTACCGGTGACACCGTTCTGTGCCACCCCCCGATCTTTCCCCTTGGCTCCGGTGCCGCCGTTCTGCGCCGCCCCCCGAGCCTTGTCCTTGGGGCCGTTCTGTGATACCGGAGGGCACCGGGAGGTGGTGGCAGCACCGTTCTCCTTGGGGCAGCGTTTGGCCCCCCCACGCCGTGCCCGGCCCGGCCGGGGCGCTCCCGGTGCCGCTGCCGGGAGCTGTTTCTGCCGCAGGACCCCGCGGCGCTCGAGCTCCCGGCGCCGCCGCACGAAGCTCTGGTGCTTTCGGTTCCCCGGTTCTTTCTTGGAGCGGCGCTCCGGGGCGGAGAAGTCAACGTTGAGGATCAGATCGTCCATGGCGGGGACGCTGTGGGGCGGAGAGGGGGGTCAGCGGCGGGGCCCTGGGCACCGGGAAACCCCGGGACAGGGAACTCCCCACCCCCGGGACTCCTGGCACTGGGAACTCCCGGACCGCCGGTACCGGGAAACCCCGACCCCCGGGACTGCCGGTACCGGGAAACTCCGACCCCCGGTACCGGAGCCTCCCGGTTTCACCCGTACCCCCGCTCACCTCCGCCCCCCGGAACCGGAAATTCCAGGGAAACACGCGGCCGGCCCGGTCCCGGCAGTGACGTCATCCGCGCGCGCCGCGGCGGGAACTCGGCGGCGCCGGGCGCTGAGGGACACGCGCGCGGCCGCGCGGCGTCCGCGTGACGTATGTGATGACGTCAGATCGACGTCACAGAGCATCGGCGACGACATGCCCGGTGTGGCGGCCGGGCCGGTGACGTCACGGGTGCCCGGGGGTGAGTGATGTCATGGCGACTCGGTGTGTGTGTGGGGGGGGGTGGTGTCGATGCTGCGTGACGTCACGGCGGGGCGCACTCGTGCGTGACGTCATTGCATGGTGACTTCATATGGGTGCTGAATGGCATGGGCAGAGCCGGGGAGGGGTGAGAGTGCCAGAGTGGGCTCATAGTGTCAGGGCTGAGGGTGAGAGTGCCAGGGTGCCCTCAGGATGCCATTGCTGATGTCCCTCAGGAGCCGCCATGGCAGCCGCGCCCCCAGAGCCGCCATGGCAGAGCCCGGAGCAGCGCAGAGCCGCCGACATCATCCGCCTGCTGAGCCTCTACCGGCCCCTGCTCGACGCCTTTGTCATTGTGAGTGTCCCGGAGCTGTGCCCGGGCTGTGCCCGCTGGGCTGTGACCCCTGAGGTGTGCCCACTGAGCTGTGACCCCCATTCTGTCCCCCAGGCTGTGCCCACTGAGCTGTGAGCCCCTGAGCTGTGCCCACTGAGCTGTGCCTGCTGAGCTGTGCCCAGTGAGCTGTGACCCCCATTCTGACCCCCTGGGCTGTGTCCCTCAGGCTGTGACCCCTGAGCTCTGACCCCTGAACTGTCCCCTTAGGCTGCGCCCTCTCCAAGCTGTGTCCCCGCAGCCTGTGACCCCCAATCTGTCCCCCCCACGCTGCCCCCTGTCCCCGCAGGATTTCTTCACCGAGGATCTGTGGTCCCAGCTGCCCCCATCCTGGCAGCCCGCCCTGGCCGGTGCCACCCCGGAGCAGCTGGCCGGGTTCCTGGGGGGCCGGGGGGGGCCGGGGGCCCCCTGGCCGCTGTCCCTGCTGGCATTCGGGGCCGCTGCCCGTGCCCTGGCCTTCCCCCGGGGCTGCCCGGGACCGGCCCCGCGGCCGCCGTGCCAGAGCTGCCGCCTGCCCCCGCTGCTGCGCCGCCACGTCAAACCCAAAAAGCAGCACGAGATCCAGCGCCTGGGCAAGGTGGGTGCCCCGAGCCGCCCTGAGCCCCCAGCTCCCCAAGAGCCCCCCACGAGCCCCCTAAGAGTCGCTCTCCTCACAGCTGCTGCGGAGGCTGAGCCGCGCCACCGGCTGCGAGCATGTGGTGGATGTTGGAGCGGGGCAGGTGAGAGCAGGGGGACAGGGAGGGGGTTCCTGGGGATCCCCCAGCCCAGCTGAGCTCCTTTGCCCCCTAGGTGATGTCTCCAACCCAACTGAGCCTGTGTCCCCCCCCATGTCCCTCCCAGCCCATCTGAGCCCGTGTCCCCCCCAGCCCACTCCAGCTGAGGCCATGTTATCCCCCAGGGGATCCCCCCCAGCCCAGCTGACCTGTGTCCCCCCGTGTCCTTCCTCCAGCCCATCTGAGTCCCTGTGCCCCCCATGTCCCCCCCCAGCCCATCTGAGCCCCTGTCCCCCCTCAGGGGATCCCCCCAGCCCATCTGACCCCTGTCCCCCCAGGGCCACCTGTCCCGGTTCCTGTCCTTCGCCCTGGGGCTCAGGGTCACCGCTGTGGAGAGCGACGCCCGCCTGTCGGCCCTGGCCGAGCGCTTTGACCAGGAGCTGCTGCAGGAGCTGGCCAAACCCAGAGCCCTGGCACACAGGGGAGCCCCCCCGTGCCCCCCCCGTGCCCCCCAGCACATCCCCGGCCGCCTGGACCCCTCAGCCCCCTGGGGGGAGCTCCTGCTACCCCCCGACCCGCCGGGAGCCGGCCCCGCTGCCCGCAACCCTTTGGGGGGCCCGGGGGGCTCCGAGGACGGGCACAGGGTGCTGGTGACAGGGCTGCACGCCTGCGGGGACCTCGGGCCTGCCCTGCTGTGCCACTTTGCCCGCAGCCCTGCCGTGGCTGCCGTGGCATTGGTGGGCTGCTGCTACATGAAGCTGTCCAGCGCCCCAGAGCAGCAGCAGCAGCACCCTGGGTACCCGCTGAGCGCCTCGGTGGCGGCACTGCCGGGCCACCAGCTGTCCTACCGGGCACGGGAGGCGGCGTGCCACGCTCTGGAGGAGTACCAGGCACGGCTGAGAGGGGGCAGTGCCCACCTGCGTGCCCACTGCTACCGCGCCGTGCTGGAGAGCCTGATCCGCGCTGCTGAGCCCGGCAAGAGGCACCTGGGGCTGCAGCCTGGCAGGAAGGCACACAGGCTGAGCTTCACACAGTGAGTCTGGGCATGGGGATCTCCTTCTGCATCCCCTGGTGGGCACCAGTGAGTCTGGGCATGGGGACCCCCTTCTGCATCCATCCCCTGGTGGGCACCAGTGAGTCTGGGCATGGGGAATGCTCCTTCTGCATCCCCTGGTGGGCACCAGTGAGTCTGGGCATGAGGAATGCTCCTTGTGCATCTCCTGGTGGGCACCAGTGAGTCTGGGCATGAGGAATGCTCCTTGTGCATCCCCTGGTGGGCACCACTGAATTTGGGCACGGAGATCCCCTTGTGCATCCATCCCCTGGTGGGCACCAGTGAGTTTGAGCATGGCCCTGCAGTGAGACTGGGGAGGGGGAACCCCCTTTAAGGACCCTCTTCATGAGTGGAATCAGCCTCCTGTGTCCCCTCCTGGCCCTGCAGTGAGTTTGGGGAGGGGGGGAACCCCCTTTTGGGCCCCTCCTCATGAGTTTGGGGCTGGGGGAGCCCTGCCTGGCACTCCCCTGCCCCCTTTCCATGACAGATACGCCCAGCTGGGGCTGCCCCTGGCAGGACTGGACCCAGAGGGAGTCCCACTGGACTCGGTGGCTGTGGGGGCCATGCTGGAGCAGCAGCACAAGGTGGTGGCATTCTGCACCCTGGGGCAGCTCCTGGCACCCCTTGTGGAGACCCTGATCCTCCTGGACCGGCTGCTCTACCTGCGGGAGCAAGGTGGGCATGGGCACAGATCCTCCCCCTGCTGTTTCCTCTCTCTCTGTGTTCTCCCAACTCTCCTTTTTCCTTTTTTCCCAGGTTTCCACTGTGCCCTCGTGCCCCTGTTCAACCCCAGGTTCTCCCCACGGAACCTGGTGCTGGTGGCCGCACGGACCCCGCTGGCTACAGCGCTGGGCAGGGACACTGAGGATGGGCACAGCAGCGAGGATGAGGATGTGGAGGAAGCAGAGACCCCCAGGGAGGGGCAGAACCACCAATAAACCCAGGATTTGTACACTCCAGGCCTGGCTGTGAGTTGGTGCCACACTGAAAGCACTGCACACTGCAAACACAACAAATGGAGGGGGTGTTTATTGCAGAGCCCACCTTGGGAGGCTCCCGGCTCCCCCAGTTTATACCTGAAGGATTTCTAGGTTCCCAGCTCCTCCAGTTAGTACCAGGAGGATTTCTAGGCCTTCCTCAGGGGGCTCTCCCAGTTAATACCAGAAGAATTTCCAGGCTCCCAGCTCTCCCAGTTAATACCAGGAGGATTTCTAGAATCCCAGCTCCCCCAGTTAATACCAGGAGGATTTCTAGGCTCCTAGCTCCCCCAGTTAATACCAGTAGGATTTCTTGGCCCTTCGTGTCTCCACAATGCCCATGGCATCCATGATCTCCTCCTCAAAGGTCTTCAACGACGGCCGGTACGTCTTGGCCAGCGCGTCCTCCTTTGACGTGTCCTTGGGGCCATCTGTGCGGGCAGGGGGACAACACTGACCCCCCCTGTCCCCTCTGTGTGCCCTTCCCCGTGCCTCCAGCCCCCTGTGGCACCCCTCTCACCGATCCACTGCTCAGGCACGACGCCATCCTTGCGTGGCTGCGGGGGCACGGGCAGGATGCGGCCGCTGCGCAGCGACACGCGGACGCGCTCGCCCTCCTCCGTGAACCTCCACTCCACCTCCGTGGGCTTCCTGCGGGCACACGGCGTTGGTGACAGGCAGGAGCAAAGTGGGGGACCCCTCAGCGCCCCCCACCCAGGTTTTACCGGTCCTCAGGGTCCACCAGGCTGATCTGGCTGAGCAGCAGCGGTGCCTCGCTGGCAATGTAGGTGCTCGAGTATTTGGCGGTGCGGTTGACGTAGCGATAGTGCTGTGAGGGGACACCGTGGGGTCACCGATGGCCCTGCGGCCACCTCAGCCTCCCTAGGGCCTCCTGCAGCCCTCCCTGTTGCGGCCTCACCGTGTTCAGTCCTTCCACCACCACCCAGTTGCGGGCTTGCACCACCTGGCTGACCAAGCCCTGCTTCCCCGCGTCCTTCCCGGCCAGCACCTGCACCTGCGGGTGGGGAGAGGGGCACAGGTGTGTGAAAAACGCCAATCGCTTGTTTTTAAAATTTGAAAAGTTTAATAGTAATAAAACGGTTATAAAAAAATAGTAATGCAATTAGAGTAATAATAATTTGGACAAAGTGAATTAGGGCAATATGAGACAATAAATACAAAGAGTTATGGATGACCAGGTACCTTTTTCTGGGCAGCACCAGCCCGAAAAAAGACCCACGTTAACAAAGGATTAACCCTTAAAAGCAACAGCCTGTTGCATATTCATACACTTCATGCATGATGCATAAATTCCATTCAAACACAGGATTCTGTCTGGTCATCATCAACTTCTTCCTCTGAATCCTAACAGCGCCTTTGAGGCGGGAAGAAGTTCATTTCTTCTGATAATGGAGCAATAAATTCTCTTTCTCTGAAAGATTCAGGTGTCCTGTGGCTGCTATCTCACTGCAAGTTCCTTCTTTAAAAAAAGTATCCTACATAGCATCGTTTCTATTTTAACATTTTTTATAACCTAAAACTATATTTAACACAGTACTTAAAAGAATGAATACAGCATTACTTTCTAACACAACACATCTAATATCCATTTGAATATTTGCGAAAAGCCAATCAAAAACACATGCATTTTTCACAGGGGGGGCCTCACCGTGTCACCCTTGAACACCTTCCAGTCGTCCTTGGCGATGGGTTCCACGAAGACCTTGCGGCGGCGCTGCCCCGGGGGGTTGCGGAGCCGGGCGGTGGTGGAGTCCGGGGGCCATGTGCCGTGCCGGTAGCCCGGGGGCAGCCGCGGCCGTGCCGCGCTCAGCAGGACCGACAGACGCATGGTGCTGCGGGCTGGGAGGGCAGGGAGCTCTGGGGACACCCCTCATCCTCACCAGGGTCACTGTGTGTCCGGCAGAGTCACCCCAACCCACCCAGAGCCCCCTCTGAAGGGAGGGAAGCGTCTGGCAGAGCAGCCCCCCACAAATGGGATCCCACAGACTGTCACCCCCCCCAACAGATTCCCACACCCTAAAGGGGACACAGGTACTGGCAGAGCCATCCCTCACCCATGGAGGGACCCAGGGATCCCACAGACTGTCACCCTCCCCACTCCCCTAAAGGGGACCCGGTCCCCAACAGATCCCCACACCCCAAAGGGGATCAAGGTACTGGCAGAGCCATCCCTTAACCATGGGGGGACCCAGGGATTCCACAGACTCTCACTCCCCACAGCCCAAACGGGATCCAGGTACTGGCAGAGCCATCCCTTAACCATGGGGGGACCCAGGGATCCCACAGACTGTCACCCTCCTCACTCCCCTAAAGGGGATCCAGGTACTGGACAGCCATCCCTTAACTATGGAGGGACCCAGGGATCCCACAGGGCACCCCCACACCCGAAGGGGACTCCGGTGTCCTACAAAGCACCCTCTCCTCCCAAAGGGGACCTGCAGAGCCCCCCACTCCCCATAGAGAACCGAGGCGTCACACAAACACCTTCCCCTTCCACAGGGGGGCGCAGGGCACCCCACACACGGGGAGAGACCTCTCCAAGGGGGTCCCACAGAGCTCATTCCCCAGAGGGGGACACGGGCAGAGTCTCCCCCACACCCGAAGGGCCCCATGGATACCCCAAAGACCCCCATGGATATTCCAAAGCCCCCCCTGACTCCCAGAGCCCCCCCTGACTCCCAATAACCCCTCTGACTCCCAATGACCCCCCACCACCCAAAGGGGACCCGTAGAGCACACACCTCCCCCCCCGCCGGGAACGACACCCGCAGATCCTCGACCACCCCCGCAGGGCCCCGAACCCCATCAAACCCCCCCAGCACCCCAGCACAGATCCGCAGAGCCCCCTCTGGGGTCCCGGTCCCGACCCCCCTCACCTGAGGGGCCGCGCCGCTCCCGCGCTCCGGGGGCGTGGCCAAGACGCACAGCGGCGGAGGCGAGGGGCAGGCCGGGAGTTGTAGTCCTAGCGCGGGGCACGCCGGGAGTTGTGGTCCCAGCGCGGGGCACGCCGGGAGCGGTAGTCCCGCCGCCCCTCCGGCCCTCAGCCCCGGCCCACGGTGAGCGGCTGCCGGGAGCTGTAGTCCGGTCACGGCTCCATCTTCTGCCGCTGCCCTCGGGGCTGGTTCAGGGGCAGGGGACGGTCAGTGCTGTCCTTTGTGCAGGGAGCCAGGCATGGCCTAGTTGGCCCGGTTCGGCCTCTCCAGGCCGGGCTGTGCGTGTGGGACAGAGCGGCCAAGGACGGTCACGGCCCCGAGCCTGACACAGCTCACGGAGCGTTTGGCAAGGCCCTCAGGCACAGGATGGGATTCTGGGGTGTCCAGAGCCAGACTCGATTATCCTGATTATGCCTGCTCAGGATATTCCACTATTCCAGCATAAAATATGAGTGTTTGGACAAGGCTCTAGGACATTGGGATTGGGAGCATTTTGGGGTGTCCTGAGCAGGGCCAGAGCTCAATGAACCCTGCGGGTCCCTTCCCACTCAGGATATTCCACTATTCCAGCAGAGAAGCTGAGTGCTCGGACAACATTCGTGGAGGTTCGTATTGGGAGCATTTTGGGGTGTCCTGTGCAGGGCCCAGAGCACGAAGGACTCAATTATCCTGATTATTCCTGCTCAGGATATTCCACTATTCCAGCATAAAAGCTGAGTGCTTGGACAATGCTCTAAGACACTGGGATTGGGAGAATTTTGGGGTGTCCTGTGCAGGGCCAGAGCAGGACTTGATTATCCTGATGAGTCCCTTCCTGCTCAGTGTCTATTCCACTATCCCAGCATAAAATCTGAGTGCTTGGACAAGGCTCTAGGACATGGGATTGGGAACATTTTGGGGTGTCCTGTGCAGGGCCCAGAGCACAAAGGACTCAATTATCCTGATTATTCCTGCTCAGGATATTCCACTATTCCAGCAGAAACTGAGTGCTTGGACAAGTCTCTAGCAGGTTGGGATTGGGAGCATTTTGGGGTATCCTGTGCAGGGCCCACAGCAAGACCTAATTATCCTGACAGATGCCTTCCTGCTCAAGGTATTTTACTATTCCAGCATAAAATATGAGTGCTTAGACAACATTCTAGGAGGTTGGGATTGGGAACATTTTGGGGTGTCCTGTGCAAGGCCAGAGCTCATTGAGCCCTCTGGGTCCCTCCCAGCTCAGGATATTCCATGATCCTGAAGGTCAAGGAGTGTTTAGACAATGCTGGGATTTTGAGGACAGCAGTAAGAGTTGATCCTTTTGTATCTCACCCAGCTCAGGACATTCTGTGATCCTGCAGTTCCTATTTCAGCTCCCTCCAAACCCTTCCCCATCTCTCCCCGTGATCCGTGTGTTGCCAGAGAGGCTCTGGCAGCCCCAAAGGGTCCCAAACCCCCTCAATTCAGGGGTTCCAGGGGCTCACCCAGGTCCCACAAGCACTTTTAAAAAGGCAAGATTCGCTTTTATTTCAAATCAACAGCTCAGCCCCGAGGAATCGCCAACACAAAGCGTGTGCCCACAGCAGGGCAGGCACAGAGCGCTCGGGGGCAGGACCCAGCTGCTCTGCATTCCTCTCTTTTCTTTTTTTTTTTGTATTTTTTTTTTTGTTTTCTTTTGGAAATTTCCTTGTCTGGAGCTCCGGACACGACGAGCCGGCGTGGGGCAGCACCAGGAGCCAGGGGGAAGGATCAGCTCGCCAGGGAAGCCACTACAGGCTGTGAGGGGCCAAGAACAGAGCCAGGCTCTTGTCAGAAGCCCCCAAAACCTGGAGGCTGTGGGGACAGGGCTCAGAGCACCCCCCTCACCTCTCCTTGTGGTCTCTGACCTCCTCCTTGCCCTCCTGCTTGGCCTCGTTGGTGGCCGGTGTGTCAGCAGCGTCGCTGTTCTTGTCCCCCTCTCCTGGGTTGGCTTTGGGCTCCTCCTTGGGAGCCTCTTCGTTGGCCACCTTCTTGTCCCCTTCCTGCCCCTCTGCATCCTTGGGGCGTTTGGGGGAGTCCTGTGGGGGGGAACTTGGGTCAGCCCAGCCGCTGTCCCAAACATCCCCAGCCACTGTCCCAAAAAATCTCCATCCTCTGTCCCAAACATCCCCATCCCCCGTCCCAAAAATTCTCCATCCCCTGTCCCAAACATTCCAAGTCCCCAACACCCCCATCCCCTCTCCCAAACATCCCATCCCAATCCCTGTCCCAAACATACCCCATCCCAAACATCCCCAGCCCTGTCCCCAACACCCCCAGCCCTGTCCCCAACATCCCCCATCCCATCTCCTGTCCCCTGTCCCAAACATCCTCATCCTCCGTGCCCAACATCCCCCATCCCAAACATCCCCTCTCCCAGCCATCCCATCCCAATCCCTGTCCCCAAACATCCCCTGTCCCCAACATCCCCCCTCCTATCCTCAACATCCCCATTCCCTCTCCCCAACATCCCCAGCCCCATCCCAAACATCCCCATCATCACCAGCCCCTGTCCCAAACATCCCCCATCCCAAACATCCCCATCTCCTGTCCCCAACATCCCCATCCCCTGTTCCAAACATCTCCTGTCCCCAGCATCCCCAGACCCTTTTCCCAAATATCCCCAAGCCTCTGTCCCCAACATCTCCTGTCCTAAAAATCCCCAGCCTCTGTCCCAAACATCCCCATCCCATCCCAAATATCCCTGTCCCCAACATCCCCAGCCCTTGTCCGCAACATCCCCATCCCATCCCCTGTCCCAAACATACCCGTCCCCAAAATCCCCATGCCCTGTCCCAAACATTCTGTCCCCAGCATCCCCTGTGCCCAACATCCCCGTGCCCTGCCCCAAAAATCCCCAACCCCTGTCCCCTATCCCAAAAATTTCCATCCCCCATTCCCAACATCCCCATCCCCTCTCCCCAACCTCCCCAGCCCCGTCTCCAACATCCCCCGTCCCAAACATCCCCATCTCCTGTCCCCTGTCCCCAACATCTCCATCCCCTGTCCCCTGTCCCAAAAATCTCCATCCCTGTCCCCAACCTCCCCATCCCCTTTCCCCAACATCCCCAGCCCTGTCCCAAACATTCCCATCCCTAAGATCCCCATCCCCTGTCCCAAACATCCCCTGTCCCAAACATCCCCAGCCCCTGTCCCCAACATCCCCATCCCCTGTCAAAAACATCCCACCCTCTCCCAAACATCCCCTATCCCAATATCCCCATCCCCTGTTCCAAACATATCTGTCCCCAACATTCCCATCCCCCATCCCCAACATCCCCAGCCCCGTCCCCAACATGCCCTGCCCTTATTCCAAACATCCCCAGTCCTTGTCCCCAACATCCCCGGTCCCAAACATCCCAATCCCCAACATCTCTAGCCCCAGTCCCCAGCATCCCCAGCCCCTGTCCCCAACATCTCCAGCCTTGGTCCCCAACATCCCTATCCCCTGTCCCAAACATCCCCTGTCCCAAACACCCCCAGCCCCAATCCCAAACATTCCCATCCCCTGTCCCCTGTCCCCAACATCCCCATCCCCATCCCCTGTCCCAAACATCCCCACCCTTGTCCCCAAACATCCCCAGCCCTGCCCAGCGCCCCCAGTACCTCCAAAGCATCCTCAGCTTTCCTCTTGCTGCCTCCTTTCTCGTTCTTCTCCTTGCTCTGCTCGTCGATCACCAGCTTCCCCTCCTCGTCGCTGCTGCCCTCGGCGTTGCCCTTCTTGTCCCCGTCCCCCTCGGGCTCCCGCTCGGCCGCCTCGGGGCAGCTCTTCTTCTGGGTGGGCTGTGGGCATGGAGGGCTTCACAGGGGGCTCCCAGGAGGGAGGAAAGGTGGGGGGAGCTGGGATGGAGCCCCCCAAACTCGTGACCCACCTGGTAACCGGAGGCTTTGACCGTGGGGTTGTTCTCGATCTCCCACAAACCTTCGCTGAAGCCTTTCCGCTTGTTGGGTTTGCCAAACTTCTCCTTGCACTCCTCGTAGGGGAAGAGGTCTTTGGGCCCCAGGAATGCCCTGTGCCAGGGGAAACCAGTGAGGGGTGGGAGCAGAGGGGGTCTCACCCCTCCCAAACTCACTGTGAGCCCCAGCTCCCACTCACGTTTCGTGGGTCCCGAAGAAGAAGACTTGGTACTTATTGGAGGAGGATTTGACTGCAGCTTCTGGCATCTCATCAATCTGTGGGACACCAAGGACGGGGTGAGAGGAGAGGGCAGAGACCCCTGGGGTTCCTCAGATGTCCCCAGGACATCCCCTGGGGCTCCTCAGATGTCCCCAGGACATCCCCTCCAGTGTCCTGTGGATGGGCACAGCTCAGGAAAGGAAAATTCCTTGGGAATCTCCCCCTGGTAGTGGGATTCCCTTCCCAGCCCCAGCCCTTCATCAGCCCCTCCTGCACTCCCAGGGGATGTAGTGGCTCTGTCTGGACACAGAGCTGGCAGGAGGTGCTCAACAGAACAAGGGGGTGCCCACAGGTGTAGGGCCAGCAGGGCTCCCCTTCTCCCACCCTTTTCCCCCCCTAATCTCTTATCTAGACCAGTTCAGACACACACAGCAAATTCAGGTGCTGCCAGTGGCACCACAGCTCCTCAGATGTCCCCAGGACATCCCCTCCAGTGTCCTGTTGATGGGCACAGCTCAGGAAAAGAAAATTCCTTGGGAATCCCCCCACAGTTTGCAGACAGAGCTGGCAAGAGGTGCTCAGCAGAACAAGGGGGTGCCCACAGGGGTGGGGCCAGCAGGGCTCCCCTTCTCTCACCCTTTCTCCCCCTAATCTCTTATCTAGACCAGCTCAGACACACTCAGCAAATTCAGGCTCAGACCCCAGGACATCTCCTCCAGTGTCCTATGGATGGGCACAGCTCAGGAAAGGAAAGTTAATTGGGAATTCCCCATAGTCCGGAGACAGTGTTGGCAGGAAGTGCTCAGCAGAACAAGGGGGTGCCCACGGCAAACAAACTCTACTCTAGACCAGCTCAGACACACTCAGCAAATTCAGGTGCTGCCA